TAGTGGACTTACTTGGCACAGGAGCGGGGCTCTGACTGTTTAGCAAGTGTATTAAGATGCAATATACTTGCTCCAAACTGTCATTAGGTTTATGATAGATAATGAGATGTGCCTGTTAATTCTACATAACCTATCTCTAAGAGTTCCACTTTCCAAGAAGTTCTACACTAGTCCTGGGTCCACTAGTTACAACTAATATCTCTTCTCAAGTGTACACACGTCATTAAGGACGCTTTGAGGTAACCTGCTAAATGTTTGTCGGTTTGGCGTAAGTGAGAAGAAACTTGTAATATAAGCTGTCTTCAGCATTTCGTCATCGTCATCAATCTAACTCTAATAGTGTTCAGCGATAGATGTGCTCTAGAGACGCTCTAGGGGCACTATTCCTTCACTCTTCGCTGCTGTACTTCGTGGTAACGGGACCTGAATGTAAAACAATTAGTGGATTGTATTATATGGGAGTGAGAGAGCTCATAGTCTGCAAACACAGCTGAGAGTGAGAGCCCTTAGCTTGCAAAGACAGCTGTAGGAGTGAGATCTCAACCTGAAAACACAGATGTGGAAGTGAGAGCTCTCAGTCTGTAAGCACAGAGCTGGGGAAGTGAGTCTGTAAGCACAGAGCTGGGGAAGTGAGTCTGTAAGCACAGAGCTGGGGAAGTGAGTCTGTAAGCACAGAGCTGGGGAAGTGAGTCTGTAAGCACAGAGCTGGGGAAGTGAGAGCTCCTCCAAACTTCTGCTTCTGTACATTCTAAAGTATGAAAACAAAAGTTGTCTGATTGCAAGGGGTGAAGACCTTATCTATAGTGTTATTTATAATACTCTAGGTTTGGTATATGTACAACAGAATATCTGTATGTGAAAGTATACTTGAGAAATGATAACACTGACATGGGCACCTCGCAGGAAATGGTGTCATCGACCAGGTAACTCTTGGCTCACAAAGAGATCACTTCTGCTCAAAATTTACAAGGCTTCGAGTAGGAAAGGCTCAAAATTCTCTGAGCACCTCACTGTGACATCAACCAAGCAATAATATGTCACTTAACATCAGAGACCATTGGCTACACTAGGTCACAAATGACCCTTAAACCATTGTTGATGGATATGACGTCAGACCTCTACCTCATTACGTATGTTTATACATCCTGACATGAATAAAATATTCCATGGCAGTCTTTCATGCTAATTGTGGCGATTGACTCTCAAGGAATGCTGAATAATGAAACATCTTTAAAAACTTTTTCAGTCCCTGTCTTCTGATCCAGATTTATTCACCTCATATTCCAAACGGCAACATAACCTTCCATTTTTGTGGCATAGGAAGGACCTCATATCTTGGGCCCCTTTGACCTTTAATGTCAAGAAATTTTGGAAAGATGGGGTCAACGACTTAATCCCTCCCATCCCTATAACTCACAGGATGCAAGGTGGATTGTACCATGTAGTGCACATTGGACATGAAATCCAGTGATACTTTGAAGGGTAACCATACTTTCAGCATTTCAGATACTGTTTTCGATTAAGTCAATGGTCTTCTATCCAATTTGATTTCTAACTTTTGTTCACCATCGGCAGTTGTCAAATCCGAAAGGTGTCTGCACACATAGCAGAGGGTAATTTAGTTTCTGCATAAAACTTACCTACTTAAAATTCTGCTAGAATTTACCTACTTAAAATTATCTGTTAGATTAAGGACCTGCCCGAAACGCTGCGCGTACTAGTGGCTTTACAAGATTGTAAATACTATGCTATGTATTCTCTCAAACCCAATGTACCTTCTTGTATATAAATAAATAAATAAATGATTTGATCCGAAATGATGAGATAAACGAAATGATAAATAAATGATCCATTTCCATATTCTCAATAATGTACCCTTGCATTGTTACACCCTCTTTTAATGTCTCTTTGTAATTTGCTATGACTATCTCAGATTAAAGGTGTTATACAAGACTTGAACTGTATTAATGCTAGTACAGTATTCAAGGTTTTGCTAATTTTGATGTGATTTTCACCAATACAGCTTTGAGTAATTCAGCCCATGTTAGTCATTTATTATTCTAGCATTATCAATTGCATATTAGATTCACATTTGGTAGGCATATAAATACTAATTTTTGTGCAATAATGCGTAAATAATGCTACCACTAAACTTGCTAGGCAAATACCGCAGAAATATAAATTTTTTAACTATTGATTTGTTTCCTTCATTTTTATATGAATTTTTAACACCAGCAGGGAGAAATTACATTTGGGAGTCCCAAAGCCTAAGGCCTATGGCAGGTAAAGGAAAGTCAGTGGTTCTATCAGTTAGTGAAAGAGGATTAACTAATTTACACTTCTATTGAGAAAATATGGTAACAATTATGGAATACATGCTCATCATTAAAGTCAGGTTTAGATGACCTCAAATGTTTTCAATGTTAAAGCTACAATAGGTCCTTGATGCCCATGCTGCAAGTCATGACCTGGAATCTGTAGTGATAACTCGACATGTATGTGTACCGAGCAAAATTTTAATGCCCATTTTCATACAAAATACACTTAATCAGAAACTTCTAAAAGCAGCAAGTACTGTATCTGGATTTTAACACCCCCCTTACTTATACTGTTCAGTGTATAATGAAATGCCATTCATTTTATGTTGACAATTTCCCAATAAAGTGTATTTCAGACATTTGCCACCCATCATTATTCTCCAAAAACAAATTTTGTATATACAGGATGAATTAAATCCTGAATATTCCATATAATTTATAACAAATTTTTAACACTACCAACTACTTCCACACCTGACAGACTCATTCATAATGCAGTGGACATTCTCACTAGGTCTTTTTTTTTTCTTTGAATGTTTAAGCACTTCTGTTGATCCTAGCATGCTAATATACACACACTTACTTGAACCAAAATGAAGATCTTTACTGTACATATTTTTTGTGTTCCCTTATTTATGCATGTCGACTCCTTACTTCCAAAAAGTGTTTCATGCAAAAATAAATATTTGTCGTTTGGTCCTGGCTCCTACCACAATGTATTGCTAATGAATGCCACCACACAGCATGCTCACTACTACCCAGGATAAATAAATACTGTAAATAAATAAATAAATAAACAAAGGATTTTCAATACTTTTGAAAACAGGTCTGTCCTTTCATAAGAAAAACTGTAATGATTAATTTGCTAGATCAGTGGTGGCAACTTTAATGAAATCTGCACTGGTTCTGCAAAAAGGATAGTATTACTTTTTTGAAGATGATCGCAATTCTGGAAAAAACTACTGCGGAGAACAGTGAATCACTTCTAAATGCCTGCATAGAAATTTCAAATGTTTTCAAACAAACTGTCCATGACACCCAGGTAGAACCTGACTCGATGCCAGAGCCGAGTGTGGTCTCAGCACCAGGGTTGCACACTGTCTTGATGCCGGGATCGGTCGCGGTCTCGGCACCAGGATCGGGCGCGGTCTTGGCACCAGGGTCGGGCGCGATCTAGGTGCCAGGATAAGGCAAAAAGAAACAAAACAAGGAACCAAAACCTGTCAATATTATAAATGGGGTATCTATAAACATGGGATATCGGGAAGAACAAATAGAATATGTAAATACGATCACTCTAGAAAGTGCAGAAACGTTAGTACAGGTAAATGTAACAAAAGCTGAATTTTTCCACCCAGAACGTTGCAAGAACTCTTTAAAGAACACAAAGTAGCCATTACAACTGCAAGAAAAATGACAGGTTGAATACCTTTCAAACTAGAGATGCTATACCAATGATGATACTGTTCAAGATGCTAGTGCTCTCTAGAGTGGATTACTGTTGCACAATGACAGCATCTTTCAAAGCTGGAGAAATTGCTGACCTCGAGAGCATGCAGAGATCCTTTACTTTACTATCCACACTTTACTGCTAGAATCCACCCAGTAAAACGGCCAAACTATTGGGACCGACTAAGATGCCTAAATCTATATTCTCTTGAGCGCAGGTGGAAGAGATACATAATAATTTACATATGGAAAATATTAGAGGGGCTGGGCCCAAACCTGCACACAGAAATAACACCACATGAGACCAGAAGGCATGGCAGGATGTGCAGAATACCCCATTGAAAAGCAGAGGTGCAACAGGTACCCTGAGAGAGAACTCCAACATCAGAGGCCCGAGACTGCTCAACGCGCTTCCACTACACATAAGGGGCATAACTGGCCGACCCCTCAGTGTTCAAGAGAAAACTTGATAAACACCTCCAAAGGATACCTGATCAACCAGGTGGTGATTTATAAGTAAGGCTGCCAGCAGCCACATCCAACAGCCTGGTTAACCAGTCCAGCAACCAGAAGGTCTGGTCGAGGACCGGGCCGTGGGGACGTCGAGCCCCAAAATCAGCGCAAGGTAACCGCAAGGTAAGAAGGGGTTAAGGACTTCCTGTTGGCAATAATTCCTTGGCTCTTCCCACTGTATTTAAGGAAAGGGGAAAGGGAATTATCAGGGGAAAGCATCATGCCATTATGATTATATAGCACTTGCAAGGAGATCAGGATAAGGATTTGGGGATGGGATGGGGGGTAGAGGAATGGTGCCTAACCACTTGGACGGTCGGGGATTGAACGCCGACATGCATGAAGTAAGACCGTTGCACCACCGTCCAGCCCAAGTGGTTGGGTGGAAGTTTATGTTCATCATATGTGTACAGGAAATGTTGGTTGCAAGTATATTTTTATAATCCTTAATGTCCATACAATTATCATCTTTTAACTGTAAACCCACAATGGGTCGTGCAATCACTCAGCACTCCACGCAATTACAGTATTGAATTTATCTGCTACTGACAAGATTTCCCATGGTGATTTTTTTTTTACCACAATCATTAGAAAATTCCATTATCCTTCTACTGGAAAATTTTCCATTAAATTTTAAAATACAAATGAAGGTTTTTATATTGCATTTCTGGTGTTACTCAAAATTATACACACATAACAAAGGTTGAATAAATTATAATACTAATTATCCATTTTTATCCAATTTTAAAATATAAAGTACATGATTCTTAAAGGCAGGCGAGCATTAAAGACTATTAAATCCATAACAAAGTTAGTGAACTAATAATAGTACTGAAGCCTTGAGGGTTATGCCTTTCTTAACAATTCTCAAACCACCTGCAAGCTAATTATAAATTCAAGCAAGATTTAAAATAGCAAAAGTTTTATTCTTTGAGACACTATTTAAACACTACCCCAATATCAAAGACCTCAAATCACATCGGCATTCAGAATCCGCTTCAAACACTTTAAATTTGCCACATTATTCAAGTGTCAAAAAATAAAAATAATGTTGAAAACTTTAACAAATAATTCTACTGGTTGGTTTTGGCCATGAAAAATTAATATATTATCTAAATGAATATTAACGATGAAGTAATTAATCTGGAACGGGAAAAAACTATTAACGATACCAGCAACTGACAACATGCATTAACCCTTGCGCTGCTCCAATTGCTATTTGTGACTTCCTCTCGTGTTCATATCATTATATGTGATTCTTGTGGGTTTTTCATACCTTTTTTTCCATGCACACCTGGATGCAGGTCTTGCACATCTCTTAGCAGTTTAAGGGGCTAATGATATAATACAACACTATGGAATTAATAAGTTATTAATGCCACACCATGTAAGCTTGATACTATTATTATGTAGTACTGGCTTCCAGGCAACCATGACAAGATCATCTTTAACAATATTACCTCACAATTTAGTCAGGGATACATGATGAATATACATAAGCTACTGTAAGATACACAAAAAAATGTGGAATAATACACATCCTCAGTATGTAAATGGCATTGTTCATTACTAAAATATAATATGACATAGTGGTACAGTCTTGCCTATCTACTCTAAGTTAGTTTCAACAATAACCCTGTATTACCTTTGCTCTCCAGCAAACATAACCAGCACACTTCCATGAATTTCTCATCTGAAAAATACAATACTGTACTTTAAAAACATCTAAAACTTATTTTTAAACAAATCTTTTTTTGTTGTGAAAGTGATCTATACAGCCTCTTCCACAAAACACTGTAATGTCTCTTCTGCTATTTTGGAGGGCAAGCATGTATGACATTATCAAAGGAAGGCACCAAGCCAGGGAAAACTATTACAGTATTGCTAACATTCCACAAATTAGAAAACATGACCATCAGGCTTAAAGACATTAATCTTTTTCAGTTTCTCACAAATTCTTAATTATTAACATTTAATAAATATTAAATACAGTTAATATGTGAAGTGTCCAGTTACACTTACTTATTTTCCACATAAGCATTAAAATTATCACAGCTAGTTAGGAAATTATTTATTTACAGATATACCATGAGAGAATAAACAGGATGGGGGTGGGGGTGACAAAGGTCTTTCATGTCATCATGTCTCACTATACAAACATTATGAAATAGCCTTATAAATACACCACCCTCCCCATCCCTCACCCAGCACTTAACGACCCTTGCCATGTACGCAACATAAGTGTGTTTAAGTACATAATGTGCAAGTTCATTTTTGTAACAACAACTGTTCAAAGTTCCACCACTATTTGTCAGTGCTACACTTGCATACCAAGCTTCCTTTCAAGGGTATTTATTATCATCATCATTATTATTATGGCAGTAGCTCAGCCTCAGGTTAGGCACTGGATTTAGGAACATTCAAGTAAATATTTATCAAATGAAGGCACGAACCCTGGAAGACAATAGCCTCTGTGTCACGGGACATTCAAAAGTCCTAAATATCACTCAGGATGCCAATACTAGGGGCAAAAAGACAAACAATGCCAAACAATCTTATTTAGAGGCAAGTTGCTCGAAGGGACACACAGAAAGCAAGACCTACAATCAGGCACATATGAAAGCATTATAAGTTATTACAGTCACCATGGTGTCAAATTGCCCAGTCTTAATAGTTTCCTTATACTGTATACTATACACCTGCTGTACTTTAAAAGGCTAGAAACCCACATAAACTGCACAATTTCAATATAATGCTTCATTTCATATTTAAGTGGATTTTTAAGATAATTTGCCCTCTTATAAAACAAAATCAATAATTCATAAAATTACTCAAAAATGACCTGATGTAAATTTACACATTACTTTGAGGTGTATAAACATTTTAAGTGATTTAGTTAAGAGCATTACTGGGATACTAGTCCCAAAATTTAATTAGTTACATAAACTTTCATGAACTGTAGCTGAAAATGTACAAGCTATATTTTACAGTACCAAATCAATACCATAAATGGATTCAAAGAAAAAATATACTCTAAAAGTATAAAATACCATTAATTCATAAAACTACCACTGTTCAGTTCACAGTAATGAAAGTTTGCACACTGCATAACAAAGACATCCGCCAAAGCTTGCACCAATATTTGTAAACCATTAATTTAGAAATTGAAGAAAACACACTAGCAGAAAAACTTCCTCCGATTACAAGTCAACAGATTGGGTTACCGTTTCCCTAGTAATTAGGGCAGGTATATTTCGAGTTCATCAACAGTCAAAATACTGTATTATATGGAAACCGGAGAAATTATAATTAATTCCCTTGGTTAAATATACAATGACACATTTCATCACACTGCTCTCCCATACAACTGAACCGAGATTGCTTTCTGCTCCTCCAGCACAACCAATTTAAGTTGGCCTGAAAACATCCCCATTTTTTGAGGTCTAAAATAAACAGGGACACTAACATAATGATCAGGCTTGATGTTGAACTGAGTGTGACGGACTGCAAAGGGCCCTTTAATAACACCTGCCGTGACCTGAAATTTGTACAAAAATTTGTATTAATGGTAATAAACAAAATAAAATTCTATTTGTATTAACAGTACTTAGAATGCCTCTTTCACAAGTCAAATTTTAGGTTTCAAATGCAAAACAACATATTATAAATATTTTGTCTTCAAAGTGCCGAATATTGTACCTAATAACTATGCCAGGAGTACTGTACCGATAACAAAAGGGCCACTAAATGTAAATCAAGCTATCTGAAAATACAGTACTGTACTGTACAGTAGTTGCCAGCACCTACCAATGAAAACATTATAAAATGCATAGGCTTCCTCAGCAATCAGTTAAAAATGGAAGTCAACATGGAATTAGGAATAATATAACATTAAGGAAGGATACAAAGCAAACGTATATAACATATGCTTGAGGAGAGCTTGCCGAGCTTATATGGTCATTTTGAACGAGGGAATTCATTTATAACAGGAGACCGAATCATTCATAATGTGGCTATCTTTCCTTCCCCACTTTCCTATTTATGTTTCTATACTTTTCTAATTAATTTATTAACCTAGAAGTAGGCATCCAGCATTCAGACAAATATTAATTCAGAGTTGACTTTCAAGCACAAAACTTGACTTGTACTGGCTCGTTACTTTCAAGCTCCTTTTCACCATTAACTATATCAGATTTACAAAGACTGAGCCCCAAAGTGTACATGACAAATGACTGAAAATTATACTTTTAACTAAGAATTAGGTTAGGTTAGGTTAGGTTAAGTTTAAGAATTAGGGAAACCATTAAAGAAAGTACTAATGTCATCATTGTGAGGAATGGTTGCAAACATAATTACTCTCATCCACTGTTTGCCAGCAACCAACTACTGTATAATGATGTGGCATAATCTGAACCATTAATAAAGTGCTCCCAGTCAGTTACTACACAGACATGCTAGAGGCACAAAGCTCAAACTTTACAAGATGTAACTCACTGCATTTAAACAGTTGTATAAAGCTAGTAAATCTAGTCGAATGTTGAATCAAATAACTCAAATCAAATAATAATATGTATAACTATTACTGTAAGGTTAAGAGTGAAGAAACAACAGATACGTACAACATGAAGAACACCGTCCAAATTCCTCAGCTTCACTTTCATATGATTTTCTCTCATTACTGGTGTATCTGGGAAAGTAATAGTATCCGACACCACCTGGACTAGACTCTCAGTGTTATCCATGTGCCGCAGGTCACGCTCACTACCCTGGCTCCCAACCGTGCTGGTGACGTTACTGCTCGCTCTTGTTCTCTCACTGTTTGTTGCTGATGTGCTGAAACAATACAAATGACAGACTAAACATTATTTAATAATAATAATGTTACTAAGTACAATACACACATGTAGGCAATTTGCCAAATTTCAGGTTTCATTTTGACATTTTAGTCAGTCAGACTTCCTCAAATGAGACAGACAAGGACTGGGTAAATGTCACCAAACAGATTTTCCATTTCTGAACTTGTCTGGAAAAATGTATGTATTACAATACATAAGTTAAAAAATACTGTAATAGTAACAAATTGAAAATGAAGTGTTGGCTTTGAATGAAATAGAGCAAAGACAAGTGAATTTTATGATTTTCTCTTATAAATACTGAGTGTGCTTATTTTACTTTTTAACTGCAATAAGCAAAAGCTATTTATGTAAAATAAAATTCCTAGAATGCAATGGACTTTAATCCATTTGCCAACAATATGTTCCCAAATCAAGTATTTCTCAACCAAGTTCAATGACCTTTAGCCCCTCAAATGGCTCCTGTCATCCTCAAACAATAGACAGACAATGTTCCTGTCATCTGTGGGTGACAACAGGTACTCTGAGAGAGAACTCTATCAACATCAGAGGTCCGAGACTGTTCAACACGCTTCCACTACACATAAGGGGCATAACTGGCCGACCCCTCACAGTATTCAAGAGAGAACTGCATAAGCACCTCCAAAGGATACCTGATCAACCAGGCTGTGACTCATACGTCAGGCTGCGAGCAGCCGCGTCCAACAGCCTGGTTGATCAGTCCGGCAACCAGGAGGCCTGGTCGACGACCGGGCCGCGGGGACGCTAAGCCCCGGAAGCACCTCAAGGTAAGGACATCAAGTGCCATATTAAATTAAAAATGCATGCTGTGTCTACAGTATGTCAAGCACCCATTCAGACTACCATCTTGAAAAATCAAGGTGCATTTGTGAGGGCCACAGGCCATCAGTTACGAGATAAACACCATGGCTACCATAGCTGTTGCACACCCATCTGCCGACCAATTCTCGCTAGCAAAGAAAAATAATGTTCTAGCATCACAAGCTGAGTGATAAAGTTATTGATTCTGAAGTGGTGTATAGTGATACAGATGAACAAATGAATGATAATGACAGATTTTGACAGTCCCAAAGTGAGTGTGAGGAACCACACAATCCTGTTGCCAAGCCCATGATGACAAGGCTACCCGACACACACACACACACACACGCCTGCAGGTCCACCAATGTTGGCTGTGATTGTAGCCCTGCATATAATTCTGCTGGTCATGAGGCCATGCAGAGAGAGATGATAGTACATCATTATCTGGATTTAGTACCAGATAATGATGCACATCACCAACACAATCATATTAGTGTTTGTGATGATGATGTGCCAGGTTAAGGTACTGAGGGGAGTGAGGCTGGCTACCACTACTGGCCATGTGGAGTCCAACCACTCAGCTGGTACACCCAAGCAATGTCGAGTAGTCACCTGTTAATGAACCCCGTATAATATCTACATGTTTAAATGTATGTGGCCATCATGGTGATAGAGGAAGGGAAAGTGCTTCATTGTCTTCCTTACATGGTCCTAGTAGAACTGCAACTGAATCATCTGGTTCAGATGCAGTACAGGTAGTTCTTCAACCACCCTCCACCATTATGTGGAATATTGGTCGTGATTTTGAAACTAATACTCCTGCCATAACTTATTCAAATACATATTGTTATATCCCCACAATATATTGTTCAGGATGAAACTTGCAAACTGGATTACTTCAAGCATTTTTTGATGTGGCGCCAGTGGAACACACTGGGTGGGAAACGAACAAGGTGAGCAACACAATTGCAATTGGGAATTTACCAGCCAATTCCCATATGCATCACTGGAAGGAAACTGCGAGGGAAAACTTACACTTTCCTGCCTTTATGCATTCTGATGAAACATGAAAAGCAGCACATCATGAATTACTAAAACAATGACTCTGCTATATCCACACCTATAATAAAAAGGAACTGTACATATCTCAGGACCTGTTCCTCCTCCCCAGGTGCCTACACTTTCATTATGATAATTCATTATATGGTTCTGTGCCAGGGTGTGTGACTTTCAGGAAGTAAATACCATTTAAATGCCACCGATTCAGTCTTAAGTTATTTGTTCTGTACAATTGTGAGACAGGATATGTGCTTTGACATGATCCTATATTCTGCAAGGGACACTGAAATTTCCAAGAACAATCTCCATGGGGTTCACAAGCAGTGATGCAAAAAACATTTGGCTCCTCTACTGAACAAGAGGCACATACTCTACACAGACAGCTTTAATGAGGGCTAAAAGGAAACACATGCCACTGACTGAGCTAATAATATCACCGGGTGAATGACAAGTTCACAAAACAGACATGTTGCAATGAAGTGGAAAGGTAAGTGTGAGGTCTGCACGCATACAACCATCCTCACTGGTAAAGTGGTAAACAGTGGCAAAGTGCATCATAAGACCAAATGCAGGACTGGGCTACAAATATTAATTTGCATTTGGTGAATAAATGTGATGTGATGATCGGTGCCATTAAGTGTGTTGGAAAATGTGTCAAGTAGGCAATGAAGTTATTTTTCTGCCTACTTGATTTGCCCCTAAATCAAGAATTTTGCCCCTAAAATGTTTTTGAACATTCCATAATTAATGTCGATATGTACATATCTTGTACAAAACATTACCTTCAGACAAATTTCACCGAGAGAAGCCAACAGGCTGTCTAAAAATACACATAAAAAATAGTAGGTGGCCTGACTGACAGAGTTATTGCTATTAGACAAGTGATGCAGGGTTAGGCTGTCATACTTCATAGTCATATCAGGATTCAAAAAGCCATAAAATACTATTTGAAATTAAAAAAATTTCTTTGTACACTTAACTGATATAGCATACCAAGTAACTTTTATAATAGTATTTTTAAGTTATAAATATTAAAGCAAAAGCATTTTAAATCAGATAAAGTTGAAAATATTGCAAATTTATACTATACAGTATATGATATGGATGCATGCAACGCTGGTAATTACTAAAAATCAAATCTCCAGTACCTGGGATATTTTATGGCGGGCATTCTAAGCTCAGTAGCTTGAAGATCAATATACTTCATTTTATCTGGGAATGGCACCCTAGATGGCAGTGTGCGCAGTGCTGAGCCATGTTGTGCTGCCACGGTCACAGGCTGTGTATCACTGCTGCCGTCATCTTCAGCAGGCAGGACGGTAATGCTTGCACACCGACTCTCATTTTCACACATGATCTGTGGACCATTACAATCTTCTAATTTATATATTTTAACACACACACACACACACACTATATATTAACCCATCCTCCTGAAATGATAATACTTATAGTACGTATTTGGTGGAAAGTATAAATATGTAGTGATAGACCACTAAAAAGCTGATGTTTTGCATTATTGAATTAGGCCAAACAGGGAACTTTTGAAACTGCAGTACAACCTAACCTCTCCTAGCAATGTTAGGCCTAATGTAGTACATTTGTGTGCTATACTAGACCCAAGAATGTTTCACTTTGATTTTTTAGCTTTTAATTTTTGAGAGTCTAGAGAAAATAAAGTACAAAAAGTGAACTTTTTGGTAGCCTATCATTATGTATCGTTACTTTTGACCAAATAAGTACAGTACTATCACTTCAGAAGGATGGGTTGAAAATAAATATCCATATACAAGTACTGTATACTGTACCACACACAGTTATTTTTAACTTGTCACATTATAATTACTCTTTCACTGTCATACTATCAGCAGTGGCTGGTGTGGCAATATTTAAAAAGGGCTCTATTACTGTCATCTTAGAATCACCACCATCAAATGTCAAGACAAATAGAAATATATACACACTTAAACTTCAACATACCTTGAGTGTTTGCGTCACAGGTTTAGTGAGTGGTTGAGGCATAAGAGATGGTATAATTTTAACAAGTACTTTGACCGAGCTCTGACACGGCAGTATGGCTTCCCGAGGGTCAATGTCCAGCCACCTACAGTTTGACGTGGCCTAATAAAAAAATTGCACAATTATTCCACAGCACAGTAAGCAAGGAAGCATTCAACCTCATTACTATATAATCAAATAGTATGTGTGTGTTCACCACCTGGTAATCATGAGAAAATACAACATCCACAATCAACTTTCTTTTAATTTCTTCCAGGAAAATGCAAAGAAATAGATAAGGGTATATTATATAATGATAGAATAGAGAAGGTTTGTTAATTATATTGGTAACTATTAATTATTACAGCAACTAAAGCATGCACTTGAAACTCGGCAAGTGACATCACTTCAGTGTAGCCATGCACCATGGGCTTGCACCTAAATGGCACAGCAACCCCCAGTGGGCCTGCACCCAAACGGCACAGCGACCCTCAGTGGGCCTGCACCCAAACGGCACAGCGATCCCCAGTGGGCCTGCACCCAAACAGCACAGTGATCCCCAGTGGGCCTGCACCCAAACAGCACAGTGATCCCCAGTGGGCCTGCACCCATATGGCTAAGTGACCCCCCAGTAGGCCTTTACCCAATGACTGAAAGTCCCCAGTGGGCCTACACCTAAATGGTTGAGCACCCAATGGGCCTGTACCCAAATGGCCGAGTGCCCCCCAGTGGGCCTGTACCCAAATGGCCGAATGTCCCCAGTGGGCCTGTACCCAAATGATATAGATGCACTATAATCACTGAATAAAAATAAGACTCCTAGTGGAATTAGATGAAATACAGTAGGACCAGACAAGGAATTAGCCAAGACAGCTGAATCAAGCTACCTTGGTTGTACTCATATCTCCTAAATAGTTTTCAACAAAAGACTATAAACTGAAAATCTCAGCAATAAAAAAAAAGCAAATACAGTTCCAATATTTTAAGTAGTTGATGAGCACAAAGCTACAAGCCAATCACAAACATGAATTTCATCCAAAGTAAAGGAAAAAAATCATGACGAGAATGGTGGAGCACCTGGGAGAGGAGAGAGAGAGGGGTAAAATACTGTTGTTAATTTAACATGTCCACAAGGGCCTTGATGAGGGGTTCGAACCTATGAAGAATGACTAGTGCGCATCTGGGAACATCCCGCGCCTAGGTTCAAACCCTTATCAAAGCCCCTGTGGATTTGTTCATTTGATGTATAACATTATTGTGATTTGTGCATGTACTGTTGTTAATGTTATAGTCATTCCTGGCTAACTGAAGAGATCTACGACAGGATTATCAAAATGTGAGGAAAAGTGAGGATCTAAATTACAATACATTAAGTAACTGAAGCAAGCAACTTGAGAAGAAAGGCCAGAGGGAACATGATCATGGTGTACAGAATAATGAGTGGAATAGATAAGATGGACATGAGCAGCTTCCTTCAACTGAAAAAAAATAAAGTAAAATATCATTTGTGGATGTTGGAAACATAATGACTGTCAAAGAAACAAAGGTGTGTACTCTCACAATGCATGGGGGCTCAAAATATAATGTACAGTACTGGAAGTAATCATGGACACCACCTCCCACCCATGACTTAAACTGCTAATACAAAATTGAACTAGATCATCAAATGATTTAAATTCATCCGACAAATAGCTAGGAGGTAGTGTCCATCTCATCTCCATGTACACTGTTGATAAGCATCAGAAGCATATGCAGGGATGCTACCTTAAGGTTGTAAACAGCACCATTACAGCAAAGAATCAATCATAACTGAACAGCACCATGATAAAAATTTGTCTACATAAAATATACAGCATAAAATATAGAGAAACAATGAAAACATTAACATACACAATAAACAACAACTTTCAGCTTCTCTCGCTAGATCAACAAAACGCAATTAAAATGTACCTTACACATCAGTTTTAAATCAAATTGTATTTTTTTTTTAAATTTCATACTTTTAAATTAAATATATTTTAATACATTAAACATGTTTTGCATATATATATAAATATAAATTTTTTTTACTTGAATTAACTCACTCAGACCTAAACAAAACACCCAAGGTTGAATGTAATGAAACACCTCTTTCTGGGCGAGCCCCAGTGGCTCCTTGAAGCTCTCTCAAAGATTATTCCATTCAAATGGGTCACATCAGACAGAGGGGTTCTGCTTTGTTTACTGGGAATTAGAGCTAGAACCTGCTCCCCTCACAGAGGCAGAGAGTGTTAATAACAATTTGCCATCCCACTGGGAAAGCATCCAAAAAGTCACAAAGCTGGAGTTTCACAGAAAAGGAACCCTCGAAACCGGCAAACAACTCCACATGGAGTTGCACTTGGATTCATTCACATGGGACAAAATTCACTCAAACTAGATCAAAACTGGTTAGTACTCATTTCCATTGCTAGGCAGCCAGTGCCCCCCCCCCCAATCCCCAGGTGGCTCCCTTGGTCAGTCCCGGAGGCGATGCTCAACCTCTGACAAACCTATAGGGAAGGGCGGGAAATGAGGAAGCCACCAGGGCTCTACCAGACAAGTGGCATTTCATTACATTCAACACTGGATTTCTGGAGAAGCCACCTGGTGGTGTGGTTCCCTGAAACTTACCACAGAAAACAAAAAAGTGAACTTACCAGGGAGGAGCGGGTGACAGGCACTAGGACGAAGAAGAAAACCCAGGCTGGGGGAGACAGCTCAAAGTAACATGACCGACTGGGACCAAGAATAACGATATATTAACTTTATAACATTGTTACAAATGCCAAAACCCCCTAGCTAACATATGTCCAGGACATGTTCAAGAACACTGCTGCCAAAGCAGCATATTTGTGAACATAATGATGCGAAGGGTAGACTGGCTAGACTTAATAACACTGAGGACCTGAGAAATGCAAACCTTCGAAAAGGGAACCTAAGAAACAGGGTCAACCAACAATCTGTCACAACTGAGGCAGAACCAGTAGACCACAGGTAACAAGTGAAGAGCCACCACTGGACACAACTGATGCACCCCCAGCTGAACCAACAAAACATCATTCACCAAAGGACCCCTCTGGAAGCCAGCCAACATATTCTTCACCAAAAAAAAGAAGCAAAAGGCTGTAAATAAACAAAACATCCACCTCCAGAGAAGTCAGAGTGCAGCTGGAGCATAGAGCCTTAAGAAAGCCGAATACAGGCATACCTCAGAATGCGAGTTTAATCCGTTCCTGGAGACGCCTCGCCTTCCGAAAACTCGCATTCCGAAGTTAATTTCCCCATAAGAAATAAAGGGAAATGAATTAATCCGTTCCTGACTACCCCAAAAACCCCACATCAAACTAAATTTTTATACCTAATTTACCTAATTCATCTAAATAAACCTACAAAACTATGTTCCAGTTATTACTTACCTTGCTGTCGAGTGCTGTAGGCGTATGGAAGATGGTGAGGAGGGGGGAGGAGGAGAGGAGTTACTGTTTGGAAGGGGAGTCCCCTTCCATAATCACATCAGGCAGTGAGGACCTTTCTGGTGTGCTCTCCCTGGGACGTTTAACCTGAGTGCCACTAGGTCCTGGTTGAGGCTCACTGCTCGATTTCCTCACCACAAATTTGTCCATGGAAGCTTGCTTTTCCCTTCTTCGCAAGCTCTCTCTGTAGTAAGGCATCACATTGTCATTGAAAAGATTAAGACAACGGCCTACTACAGCTTTGTCTGGGTGAGTATGTTCAATAGTTGTTTGAATCTCTTCCCACATCTGACACACCTTCTTAATTACTGCAGAAGGGACACTCGCTGGTGCTGTTGGTGCTGCTGCCACCTCCTCCTCCACTGCAGAATCATTCGCTGCTGTGTTGGCTTGCTGTTCCTGTTGAAGGGCTAGGAGTTCTTCGGTGGTCAGTTCTTCGTTGTGTTCTTCCACCAACTCCTCCACATCATCACCATCCAATTCCAAGCCCATTTGCTGGCCTAGACTAACAATTTCCTCAACAATAGGCGCATCATTTATAGGCTCAAACCCCTCAAAGTCTAGTTCTCTCACACCTTCAGGCCACAATTTTCTCCAGCCAGAGATCAGGGTTCTTTGAGTCACTTCTTGCCAGGCTTTGTCAACGAGTTTTAAAACACTACAAATGTTAAAATGCTCTCTCCAGAACTCTTTGAGGGTGAGGTTTGTGGCTTCAGTCACTTCAAAACATTTCCGGAAAAGTGCCCTTTCATACAGTTTCTTAAAATTCGCTATGATTTTCTGGTCCATAGGCTGAATTAGAGGAGTGGTGTTAGGAGGAAGGAATTTAACTGAGGAATTTATTGTATTGAGGCATCAAATCATCTTCCAAGCCTGGAGGATGAGCAGGAGCATTGTCAAGGAGAAGCACGGCTTTGAGTGGCAATTGTTTCTCCTGCAGATATTTTTCTATGGCAGGGCACAGCACTTCATTCACCCACTCCGAAAAAATAAGCCTAGTGACCCATGCTTTTTTATTAGACTTCCACATCACACACAAACGGGTTTTCTGCACATTATACTGTTTGAAAACCCTTGGATTTTCAGAATGATACATTAGCAAGGGTTTAATTTTCAAATCGCCACTCGCATTTGAACACAGCACAAGCGTAAACCTATCTTTCATAGGCTTGTGTCCAGGCAAGGATTTTTCCTCCTTGGTAATGTATGTCCTCTTAGGCATTCTTTTCCAAAACAGTCCTGTTTCGTCACAATTAAACACTTGTTGCGGTAGGTATCCCTCATCCTCTGCAAACTCTTTAAATTCGTCAATAAATCGTCCAGCGGCTGGTTTGTCTGAGCTGGCTGCCTCCCCATGCCTTGTAACACTATGGATACCACTTCTCTTTCTAAATTTTTCAAACCAGCCCCTGCTTGCCTTAAACTCTTTCTTATCTGCATCACTCGTTGCAGGGGTCTTCTTTAGAAGGTCTTCGTGCAACACCCTGGCTTTCTCACAAATCATGGCCTCCGAAACACTATCACCCCTCAACTCCTTGTCGTGTATCCAAATTAATAACAACTTTTCCACTTCTTCAAGTATTTGTGGTCTTTGTGCCGTTAATGTTCTTACTCCTTTTGCCACATTAGCACTCATAATCTTATTTTTCTTCTTAAGTATAGTGCATATTGTTGATGTGGCTTTCTTGTACTGCCTACAAAGTTCAACAACACGTGTACCGTTCTCATGCTTCCGAATGATCTCTTGTTTCTCCTCTATTGTCATCCTCACATGAGCTTTCTGGCCTTTATCCTTACCACTGGCTTTCTTGGGACTCATGGTGAGATATATAATAACAAATTGTATAGACAAATCACCAAAAATCCAACAAAACACTGAAAATCCGCGACAAGAATTGATGTGGGGGTAGTCACTGAGCGCGAGACAATGGTAAACTGAGGGGCAGCGGGGCAGAGGGGCGACGATTGCCGAACCACCACGCGCTAGGTCGGCTGTACGCGTATCAACAAACTCGCGTCCAAACTCGCCTCCCGAAGTAACCATCGCCTTCCGAGACAAATTTTTGGAGTAAATACACCTCGCCTTCCGAAAACCTCGCATACAGGGACAATCGCATTCCGAGGTACCACTGTACCTTGTAGGGCATATTACACATCTGCAAACATGCACACCATACTTTGCACCCGAAGGAACACACCCAATCACTGCCCTTAGGCAGCCTGGCGAGTGTTAGTCATAAAGCCCCATCTCAGAGCCGAGACGTCTGTGAGCACATCAAACAATGGGGAAGCCAGCGACATAAGAGCTAACAAAGGGTGGGCAAGGCCTGAACCTGCTAGTCTAGGAGTGGCAAAGGAGGCAGAACCAGAGAAACCAATACTAATCCGAGTATCTAGTGGGCCATTTTTGGTAAGGAGAACTGGCGCTGTGGATGAACCAAACGTCGAGTTAAGGGGCCTAAATGAATGCTCATTCCACTTAGGAATGAGCATTCTCATTTCCATTTCAAGAGCCAAATCCTGCCCAGCAGGAAACCCACACTGGCAAAGTTTAGGATCCTGCACAACCGCTCTACCAAATTGGGAAGTCACCTGAGGCTGATAAAACTACAGGCGGGGCAAAGTCAACAGAGTCCCAAATGAGGCCCAGCCAAGTCTGAAGCTGGGATGAAACCAACCAGAACTACTGAAGTTAGATTTGGCTTCTATCGATACCTGCCCTGAGGAAGAATCAAGTGGGCTATCTTAAAATTTAACCTACCATAGCTTTGAGGGGATGTGGAAAACTCTTTTCTTAGCAATACATTCAGCTATTTTCATTTCCACCTTTCTTTCCATGTCACACTGGTGCTTTGGAGTTGGGCTCTTAATTTAGGATTCAGGTGGAATATGTAAAGACTGGGCTGTTGTGTTAAGTTACTCAGGAGAAAACTTTCAAGTTCAGTTTAAACCACTTTTACATCTATACCCTTGAATTAATCAAATGTTTTTGTATCTTCCTACTACCAGTATGATCAAAAAAAAAAAAAAAAAATACTGTAGTTACATGTTTGGTTCCCCATTGTCGTAAATAAGAAATAGGATTGGTTTTTTTGAGGACATACTAAGTCAGTAACTGACCTCTCCTAGGATGCAATACCTAATAGCTGGCAAACTCAGTACCTGGTTGCAAGGAAACACACCCAAACATGTTGACTTGCCTGGGGGATCAAACCAGGAAACTTTCAGTTAGGAATTATGGAAAGATGCCCTTAGGGTACAACCGAGCGTACTGTTCGTAAAAGTACTTCTCGTATGCACCCTAACTCAGATATTCTGTTTTCATTTACCTCAAACATCTGTTGCACATTGCTCAGATTGACAACAAAAAATACATTCGTAGATACATCAGATGCTACAACGGATAATGTTTGGGGGAAAACATCCCAAGAAAAGTTTTTCCCCGCCTCTGTATTGGCAGTTGCTTGCAAAACAGTACTGGACTTGGGAGCAGGAGGGATAGTACATCCACGAACTGTTTGCCCATCAACTTCCATTAGTCTGAAAAAAATAAAAAATTGCAAATAAGGAAAATGAGAAACACTGTATAGTGAGAAAGTCATTTCATTATAACTGTTACTGTTACGATCTGAAATACATCATTTCAATTAACTATTGTTCTATGGACTACAGTAAGGCAAGGTAATTATCAGGAGAAAGTGGCAAGCCATTGCAACTATATAGCACTTGGAAGGGATAAGGAAAACGATTTTGGAACTTCAGCAATGCCTGGAGCCAAACTCTGTCCATGGGGAACAGCGCACCAAGTTCAAGTTCTTGCACAACCCCTCAATCAATCGTCAAGTAATCTGGGGATATTCCAAGTCCAGATGGAGACAAGCCTGTAGGAATAGCAGAGCCGCCACCAGTAAGGAAAGGGAAGCTGACCAAGAAGCCCAGACCAGACCTAGATTCAGATGTGTCAATCTAGGATAGAACCAGCTGGGACCATCTCCAGAACACCAGGAACCCAAACCAAGCTGGTAATGGAACAAACCCTTCTTTGCAGACAAATGGACTGGCTGATCAGCCAAATGGACTGGCCGATTCCATTTGTCTGGACATTCCAGACAAATGGAATAGACTGACAAAACAAGCCAGTCATCAAGGAAGGTCAAAACAAAAGAAGTCACTGGATAAAGAGCAAAAAATGAAACAGGCCAACCTGGGTAAACTGAGGAACCATAAAAGGAGAACCTGAAGGCAGGAAGCCAGAAGCCCTACAACACACCCTAACCCGTTCCTGAACCTCAGAAGAAACAAGACGTGCCAGAATGAGTCATGGAAGTCCAGGGACACCATCCACGAAAAAAATGATGGCTACAGGTAGACCTGAGCTAGAGCAGGCATGGATAAGGTAAATCAGAAGAAAAATTATCAAACGTGAGACAGCGAGAACATATCACAGAGCAGACGAGTCTTGCAAAAGGACCGAGAATAATGCAAGTCAACAAGCATTAACACATCTACTCATGAAATTGTACAGTACATCTTTTCTCATTCTTTGGCAGCTTTGAACAACCAAGTGAACACAAGACCCATGAAATACTGCAGTTGAGGCCCAAAACCAAAAAGTTGCTACTGTAACTGCACAAGGAGCCGTCACGTGCCCACAACTTGGGAAAGGGCTAGAACAAATAATGCACCTGTGGTGCCAACGGGGCAGAGAATCGAGTCCATCGAGGCTAAATTAAACGTTCAGGAGGTCAAGGAAAATCACAAAACGGTGAAGGATAGTCAGGATATAGTGGTTGAGGACAAAAATGAAATATTGAGTGATGAAATGAAGGAAAGTGAAGTGTGTGTGAATGATGATAGTCGTAGGGAAAGGAAGAACCCTATAATTACACATAAAATGAAAGAATCATTTGGGCCATGGACGTCTCAGGGCTGAAAAAATCTCTTGAGAATCGCAATGTCGCTTTTACTGGTGAACAGGAGGTGGGAGATGTTATACAAGGTATGGCTATCATTTAGTGAACTTATTGGGGATGACTTAGGCAATGAATTGATTAATAATGGATCACCCTAGACTGAAAGTGTTGTCATGGAATGTTAATGGTTTGAGAAACAGGGTTACAGATGTTCATTGTTATGTGATGGGAAATGATATTGATGTTGTAGCTCTCCAGGAGACAGGGGATAGGAATGAAGGATTATTGAAATTAAATGGCTATAAAGGGTTTCACCTCTTCGCCGCAAATAACATCAGAGGCACGTCGATTTATGTTAAGAACTCCAACCAGCAGAGTTAGTAGAACCGCCATCAAAAACGCAAGGTATAGAGAGTGTCAAGGGAAGGGGAATTTATTGTAGTTAATTTGTATGTATCCAGGAACTGCTTCGACGCTAACTATTTACCTGACATTTATACTAATCCTTCACTGGTCATTGGGGACCTTAATGCTCGGCACACAAGCCTTGGGACAGTGGGTAGTATTAATACTAATGGGGTCAAGTGGTTACAGTTTCTACAAGATCATCCAGATACCTGTCTCTTGGGAAACAATGAACCAACTCACATCAGGGGAGGACGGCTTGACTATGCCTGCGTTTTAAACTCTCAGGGGATTATGGGGGAGGCTCGGGTTGTTCGGGAACTACTTAGTGACCACTTTGCCTTGAACGTTGAATTACCACTGGGGAAAAAACAAGTCCACTTTCAAAGGAAAAGGCTAAATATTAATAAAGATATGAAAAATTACTTTATTCAAAATATGGGAGATTGGTATCAACATTACACGCCGCTTCCAGAAGCCCTACAACACACCCTAACCCGTTCCTGAACCTCAGAAGAAACAAGACGTGCCAGAATGAGTCATGGAAGTCCAGGGACACAAGCACAGCCCAAGAAAAACAAAGATAGAGCCCACCTAATGTTTTGATACCCTGTACAGCAAAAGCCAAGCCAAAACCCTAAGAGAAGGAAAAGGTTGTCCACTAGGTAGGTTGGAACAGGGACCTTACAATCGCAACCTAAAGGCCAAAGTCAGCCAGCGCTCAAAAAGTGTGTTTACAGGTCAAACAAGGAAGTGACAGTCCAATCCTTCAGGAGAAGGAGCTGAGAAATAATCAGCAAGGAAAAATATTGTTATGTTCTTTTAATAGAGTACTAACACTTATAAAAAAATCTAAAAGTCTTAATTTAATTTTGCTTACAGAACACAAGATTTGTGCTTTGAAATGTTTAAATTTAATAACGATTATGATCTCTATATCATCTACTCACAAATTCAAACATGTCCCATTTTTCTCCTTATCATTAATTCCCCCAACACAACTTCTTTCACTTATTTTACAAATATTTTACTGCCCCATTATTCTGTAATAATCATTACTACCAATGTCCTCATACTGCAAGAACAGTTCCTTTTATCAATTCAAATTTACCTGCTATGAGTAACAGTCATATCTGCCACGGAGCTTAAGGTGTCATCAGCATCTAAACATGCAAATACAGTGCTTGATGCCTCTTCACGTTCTCGACTTTCTCCATACAACTGAATCTGAAAGACAAACATTTTCTAGTGTGATGATTCTATGACAATATTTTATTTTATCACCATATTATCTAATATCTTGGCTAATGAAGTTCTAGTGAACCAGCAACCTCATTGGCTTTTTAACATGAAACTACATAAACGACAAGTCATATAAATAATACACACAATGAATTATCAAGTACTGTACCAATATATAAATTCAAATTTACATTTCGTCATGAACTTTACTGATGAGCATTTGTTTACTTCAATTTTAACATAAATGTGCAAGCTTTGTAAAAGCAGAAAAAAAAATGTAGCACTCTTCCATACTTCAGTAATGCAAACCTATGCTATTCAGAAATGCAAGTAAACAATACAAGTAAACATTAAAGCAAGAGGACTGGGAGAGAGCTATGACTGTTACCAGAATATAAAGAACGAAGATGGTAGTGAGAATTACAAAGGCGTTCATTTACTAAGTAATTACCCAAGTGTAGTTACAGGATGAGAGCTACGCTCATGGTGTCTCGTCTTCCCAGTATTTGTAGTACTATAGTGAGTACTAGTGAGTGTAGTGAGCAATGTGTATGGCAAGATAGTAATTGGAAAAGTCTAAGAAATTACCAGGAAACTGGTCAGCAATGGACAAGGTAGTGCCAATCACATATTTTTGGTGAGATACCATGTAGAGAAGACATGAGAGAAATATTATAAAGCAGAAATGGCTGTTATGGGCCAGGAAAACCATTTAACAAACTTAATAGAAGACTTTGGAGTGTGATGGGCATGTATGATGTTCAAGTTCTCCTAAATGCCGAGAGAGGCAGGAGCGCAATGTTCTGACCCCATGTTGTCTAGGCTAACGTACATGCTATAATTCCATGTTTTGTTATTGTACTTCCTAATTACTTCCTATTACTCTTTCAAATGTTTTTATGAGATGTGATGTTAGTGCTATCAGTCTATAAGAGTTTTGCATCTGCTTTATTATCTACTTTGTGGCTTGGTATGATCTCCACTGCTTTAAGTATGTCAGGAATATCACCTGTATTGAGTCTCCACATCCAAATAATGTTCAGGGCCTGTGACATTTTTAGCAATTCTTGATGAATATAGAATTCCAGAAATCTGAGCCTGGTGGTCAGGGTAATATCTGATGTGATATAATGTTGGTATCACATTCATGAATTTGTTTGATTATCAATCTTCAGTATGATTAGGGGTTAACTGAAAACAGATTTACACTGTACCTTCAGTATTTCAATCACTTCTTTGTCATCATCTGTGAAAGTTCTATAACCTCCCTTCTTCTACACGAGGTCCAATAATAGATGAAGTTTCTGTTCTAAATTTTGCATAGGCGAAAAAGTGTTTGGGGTTCCATTATTTCACTGAAGGCCTTTTACTTTCTTTGCCTCTCCTGGATTTTATATGATTCTTTTAGCTTTAGCTCAAGTACAGTATTTCTATTTCTCTGCATACTAAGAAATGCAGCCCAAGTGGTCCAGCCCAACCACTTGGGCTGGACGGTAGAGCGACGGTCTCGCTTCATGCAGGTCGGTGTTCAATCACCGACCGTCCAAGTGGTTTGGTATCCTTCCTTTCCCCCGTCCCATCCCAAATCCTTATCCTGACCCCTTCCCTGGGCTATATAGTCGCAATGGCTTGGCGCTTCCTCCTCATAGTTCCCTTCCCTTCCCTTCTGCATAGCCTTCCATGTCAATCTTGGGATAGGGTGGAACATTAGATTTATGCAATTTGTTTATTTTGCTTCTAGAGGGAATTTAAATTTCCATATTTTTCTCTATTGTCTTATTGGTATATGACTTGAGCATATCTCTAATGTTAGTTTCTATTCTCTCAAAGCACTGATTTAGGTTTGTATCATCTAGTAGTTCTTCCCAGTGTATTTCTGTGAGGTCTTGGTCTATTAGTTCCCAGTTAATCAGTTTATTGTTACAATTGAATTTGCTGAATTCTCTGAGACAGGCTGCACAGGTCTACTGCTAGTTCTTGTCTAAACTTCGATTAGGTCATGTATTTGACATGTAAAAATGTATTTGTAATCATTATGTTCCTAAACAGTTTACCACTGTAAGTAAGGTCTAGAGCATTTTCTTTTGTATTTAGTTCTACCATTTGCTTCTTTACGGCAAATCTGTCTTGCATTTGTAAGAGATTATTTGTGTATCACTTCATTTTGATGGCTTCTTGGGATTCTCCCTGATTTAACTGAACTGTATTTGACGTATTTTGTCATTTTAGGTGCCACACGTTCAAGTCGCCAAGCAGAATGACGACTAAGGCTGGGTTTGCGAGATTTTCCAAGCAGTACCTTTTATTTTTTTTTTTTTTTTGTTAGTTGGTATTTAAGCTGCCGAGTATTTCCTTCTAGTGATTTATATACAAGGACAATAACCACATTTAGAACTTCTATTTTGATTATGAGCATTTCCACCATATTGTTTGTGGTGTTTAGCAGCTCAATGCAGATGTGTGTGTGTTTGATGTACAAGCTGACCCCACCGGTCAGGGAGGGAGCCGGTCGGCCGAGCGGACAGCACACTGGACTTGTGATCCTGTGGTCCTGGGTTCGATCCCAGGCGCCGGCGAGAAACAATGGGCAGAGTTTCTTTCACCCTATGCCCCTGTTACCTAGCAGTAAAATAGGTACCTGGGTGTTAGTCAGCTGTCACGGGCTGCTTCCTGGGGGTGGAGGCCTGGTCGAGGACCGGGCCGCGGGACACTAAAAAAAAGCCCCGAAATCATCTCAAGATAACCCTGTGCTTCCCCCTCCCCCACATCTGAAAACACTGTATTCCAGTATCCACATTTCACTAATGCAGCAGTCATTTTTTTGTGTTTTGGTTTGGGCTGCAAACACTATTTACCTCACTAGGAGACCACTTACAAATTGGACTTTGTTTTGCATGTTTTAACACCCTGAATGTTGGTAAATACAACTAATGCCGTCGTATTAGTGAAATTGCTTTGCGTTTTACTTGGTGTCAACATCTGTGGCTCTGGTAGGATAAGGAATGATAATGTCATGAGCTGCTGAGTGCAAAAGTTGATGAATGCCATGACTGAGGAGATATACAAAGATGGTTCAAGCCTGTAATATGAATGGTAGATTGTAAACTGGTGAAATGTGTGTAATCAGGTCATTTTCACAAGAGGATGAGGAGATGAAGATCGGGAAGAAGAGGGAGTGACATTTTCTCCCCAGATATGAGTGTGAGGTTACAAGGCTGAAAAAAAAAAAGGAATAACAGTTGAATAATTAGATTACCTCAATATAAATAAGAGCAGCTAAATCTTGATTTGAGACTCTAAAGCTTAAGTAGAGCGGATAGGTCATAATTATAGCTGAAGAATTTTAGAGCACCTGGGTCTTAGAACATGAATTGAAGAAGATGGTAGAATCTTCAGGTTGAGGAGGGAGACAGTCATCTTCATCGTTTAACTCCTTTTTCCCAGTGTAATCTGTATCCCAGTGGATCTTCAGTAGCGTAGGATCATTGACACGGCGAATTTTCACTTCCTTGTTTTTAAGTCTGGCAAAGAAATTGAACACATTTAGATTTAACTCTTAAGGGAACTATTAAGCAAACAGTAGCAGTAATAAAAAATATATACATAGTGCATAATTTTATTTATATTATATATATATAGATAGATAGATAGATATATGAGAATGGAAGTAACTGCAGAGGGCCTATTGGCCCATACGATGCATTGAAGTGGGTAGAATATAGTTGTGCATTAATTGGCTGTTGATTGCTGGTGACCATGCTTTTGACCATGTCACTGCATCACTGCCAACTGTTTAATGGAATCCAGTGTTAGCCTCTCGACATTTTAACATACAGTACACTTCTTTACATTTGTATGTAAATTGGAAAAGTGCAGATCAGTCGAAAATAGCTAATTGTTAGAGAAACTTTTGGAATTAAAATAGCACAGTGAGAATGGAGAGAAGACACATTAGCAGTTTTCTCATCTTTCTGGACAAATGACGACTCAACCATGAAAAGGTATAACAGTACACAAATAAAAATAATAAAAAATAATAATGATTATGATGAAAGATTATTTTGCAAAGATGGCAAAACATCAATTGCAATAAAGCTGTACAGTACTAATGGGTGAACCCTTCTATGTAAACTGATGCAAACTACACTCTAGGGTTAACCGACCCCAAACTAAAAGTCCCCATCACAATTAAATCCAAAAATAAAATTTACTGCTGCTCACCTTCTGAAACGTCGTCGCAAGATTTCATCCCCTGAAATGACCTCCAACACTCCCAAACAGCCTGGTGTTTTGGCCAAGATATTTGCAGTGCCATTGGCATAAATAAATACTCCCCGACTTTCTTTGGGTGCCAAAATAAATTCTGGGGGTTGTATCGAGATCTCACGTGAAGCCATCAACTCTGAACACTGATCATCTGTTATAAAATTGAAATATATATTAACAAGCAGTTCAGAATAAAATTAAAATTAAGTTCCACTAATTACCAAAATTCTACAGCTTACACAGTATGTTAATGTCAACAGCACATGCACAGAGAAATCACATTAACGTGTTGTATCAGTGAGAAAATCAGGAACCATGAAGAGGACTCAAACTTGTACTCTGGGTACTCCCAAGCACCCGTCTTAGACCACTATACAGTGACATGGTCAAAAGCATTGCTACCTGCGATTCCACTCAATCCTCTTGGGGTCCTGAGGCTTCTCTAAGTAGTGAGGGTGATGTTGGATCTATTGCCATTGCATAGAAGGGGGATAGGATTGAGTATTGAGCTGCTCAATACATAGAAGCTTGACTTCTATGTTACACACTGCAGTAAGCAATTGGGAAACTAAAGTTTTTTCCTATCCCATTTTATAAATTATATAATTATAAGAAACTAACGTATACTTAAAAGAACTAAATGAATTAACACTTAATTCAAATTTACAGATAGAGCCTAGAACTCTCAATAATTAAATAATATACTAAAGTTCTCTTTGATTCTTAAGTAGGAGTGAGGTGGTGCCCTGATGCCATACTTTTCTTAGCTCCCGAACACACTGAGAGGGTTATTGGCTCAGACACCAAAATTTCCTGCCTACATCACCAAAGAGACGATAAATCTCCATTCTGGGCAGCCCCCGTAGAATATCTCCGCCTCACACTTTCATTAAGTGACACCTAACTGTTTAGTTCTGTACTGATTAACTTGGCCAAGTTAATGTCCCAAAATAGTGTTGGGGTAGTTGAGCATGATTACGCTTCACGATAACACAAATTTGATGAGAAAGCTCCTAAGCCTTTCTAGCTCAAATTTGAAGTTGAACAATAATTGAGGTTATGCCTCTTATTAAACTTATAAATTATGATAATTCTAATAGTGCATTTGCCAGCAGGAAGTGTGTATCCAGCCAGCGAGCCCAGCCCCAAGTTGGCTGTAGAGCAGCCATACTGCCATCCACATGTTCTGGCCTGCCAGCTACAAAATTTACCATTATAAATTAATGATTATTAATAATATTTAATTACATATATTGACTTTCCATAACAATCTTATTCTATTTTGTAATGCTAAGTAATGAATAGAACATGTAAGAATTTTAAGTCAATATCAAATGTAAATATATATTTTCCCCTAAATGGTACAAGCCTAACAATTTAACTAAGTTACAATCTGAATAATTAAACTAAGGAAGATGTGTGGGAACCCAAATAAACTCATGATTAAATACAGGCCACTAGAATCAACAAACAAAATTTTCCCCCAGATGTGACTCGGTACTGGGATGCCATCTCGGCAAAAAGCTTGAGGAAGCCACCATGAGGCCCCTTCAGAAAAGTGCATTAACCTTACATGGCAGGTTATCTTGAGGCTATCTTGAGATGATTTCGGGGCTTTAGTGTCCCCGCAGCCCGGTCCTCGACGAGGCCTCCACCCCCAGGAAGCAGCCCGTGACAGCTGACTAACACCCAGGTACCTATTTTACTGCTAGGTAACAGGTGCATAGGGTATAGGAAACACTGCCCATTGTTTCTCACCGGCGCCGGGGATCGAACCCAGGATCACAAGGCAGGGTACAAAGATAAACCTCACTCCTCTATAATCATTAATAGGTAAGAACTCATGATTTTAAATGTCTAATTTTTAATTGACAGATGCATATTTTCACAAACTAACAAAATGTATAGCTTTGAATGATACTTTAAAATATAAATTGTAATGCCATCTACAAATCCAAGCTACATAAATAATTACCTGTAAACACTTGAAGCTTTATAAACATGTTTCTGTCTCCTTTATTAATAAATGCAGTCTTGAGTAGAGATGGTACGCCTGGTGCCAAGTCTTGAAGAATGAGAGGTTTCCCATCACAGGCATCAGGTATTTCCAACTCGCTAGTTCCTCCATACCCTTGCAATGGTATCTGCAAGAAATGTTAAATATAATAGGAACTATTCCATTATTTAACTGTCGCAAGTACATGCAACTGTTTTCCGTCAGCTAGGTAAAGATTTCACTAATTAAGCCTTTCTATCAATATTGCATGTGCTTTATTCATTCAGAGGAAAGTAGTACTTGGAATACACTAATACAATGCAAGGGGGGGACAAAAACAAAAGTCATAGAAGAAGTACTGTACAGACAACAGTATACCGAGGAAAACAGGGAGGCACAAAAAAGGGGTCAGAAATTATCACAAAGGGTTAGGAGAGAGATGGAGCAGCAGTGTGAAAATGACATAGGGACTGAGCCATAGGACAGCTAAAGTTAATGCACAAACCAACAAAAATAATAAGCAGTAAGGGAGCAAGTATTATTAGAGTAAGAAATGATGGAAATGTCCTTACAGAAAATGACAGTGAGGTCTGCAAAAAGTTTGCAGAAGATTCCAGTTCTTAAAGAGAGTTAGACGGATGGTAAAAGATGGCATTAGAGTGGAAACTATTATGAGATATGGTAGTTACTGAAAAATAACTACAGAAGCACCTAAAAGAATTAGATATGCAGTACTATATAAGCAAAGCAGTCAGATAACAGAAAACTTTGCTTTGGATGCTTTTAAGACATAGCAGAGACACTAACTATGACTAAGGTTACTAACATGTGTCAACAGCAAATTTAAAGCTACTGGTGTTACGAACCAGGTAATTACCAGATTCTTAATGAAATTAATATACACATAAATTATATATTAATCACACCTCAGTTTAATTATAGGGTGAAATTAGCATATTATTTTTGTTGCATACATATTTTATTTTATATTTGCATCATGCTGACATACGTAGTATATATTGTATCATAGTGTATTCAACTGTACGAGAGAGGACATGTGGGCGTGTCCAGTGGACTTGTCCACTTCGTGTGAGAATAAGAGTGTTGGTGCGCGTTCACTGTGCCCATTTCTGCATCATGTTACATCCTGTATTATTTTGTTATTACAAAATTCCTTTTTACCAAGATATTTTCCAGAATGTAATAGTAATTACATATTCATGTTCCAGACAGAGATCTGTGTGTCCAGACAGAATGAAATACCTACGGGTTCCAGGCAGACTGTCACAGCCACTTTTCACCCGAGGCCGGCTTCCTTCATGACCCAGCAGAAGAAAGAGTAATATAATTATAAATTACAACAATTATTATTATAATAATTATTATTATAATACAGTATAAATAATTAATAATTATTATTACTCTTCCTTCTGCTGGAAGGAATTATTATATTATAATTTATATTATTATAATAATAATTGTTGTTGTAATTAATAATTATTGCTCTTCCTTCTGCTAGGTCATGAAAGAAGCCAGCCTCGGGTGACAGGGGACTGTGATGATCTCTGTCTGAAACTCGTAGGTGTGGGACTCGGTCATCCACCTCCAGATGGCTCGAGCAGCCCAAGCGGTTTCAGGAGGCTGGAGTCGTTCTTGCCTGACCACGGTGGTCTCTGGGTTTGGAGTCCCTGTGCCTTCTGTCACCAACCTCAAGGTAATCTCTGGAGTTGGAGCCTCTAGGGCAGTTCGCTGTTGCCTTCAACTTTGTTATGACAGTTCCTGCAATGGCACTGGAACCAATTGTTTTGGCGTTTACCTTTCCATTGGAAACTTTCGGCACCATGGAGAGGGGGGACCTGCTGCTTGCTTCTCCCCTGTATCAACCTACCCTGGCTTTGCACCCTGGAGAGGCCTCTCCAGAACAACAACCGGAGTGCAACTCCATAGTCTCCCGAGACTGATGGATGCCTACTACTACTATGTTCATACATGTTTGAGAGTGATTATCTCCGTATGTCAGAGTATCTGTAAGAGTTTTGGCAGATGTGTTCTGGCTATATTGTGTGAGAGGCATGTGTCTGTGAATGCAAGCGCAAAGCATTTGTTTCTGTAGTGTGTTTGAGATAGAAGGACGTGCTCTAGATAAGTCTTTTGTAGTTTATGTCCTTCTACTTATTTGTGATGGTGAATCTGTAGATTCTAGAACACTCCCTTTCTAAATGGTCTGATACAAAGTTGGAAATCAATCTTGGGGAAAATAAGAAGATACTGAACTGGCTTCAAGAGCATGACAAATAGGAAACAGATTGTATAGAATGAGTTAGAATCAGATAGAAGAGACGTGGCAACCACAATAGTGCAACTCAATACTCACTCACTACAAGATTGCATGTTTTGCAGTTTCCATCATGTTGCATCTGTTAATGAAGGACCGCTCATTACCCATTCAGGGACTACTGAGCTGGGCCCTCCCAGATACCAGATAGAAATTAACGACATTTACTACAAGAGCAAATCAGAGGTATAGAAAATGGGACTAACGCTGGACGGCACTACAGTCTAAATAGAGTCAAATACACGACATTACCAAATGAATCAAGTACTTTACCTTGCACTTTAAGATGTTGCCCGTACCGCCATAATATTTGCACAAAAGTGTTGCACTTAATGGAGCAACTTCTGTGGGGCACATGAAAACAGAGAGGGCCAGTTCTTGGCATGGATTGAGAATTACTTCCATCCTACTACGGCCTTCTTTGCTGCCAAATTCACCAACCTGATTGTGAGAAAACAAGAAACTTGTGATATTGGAAAGATAAGGAATAGTAAACAAAAAATATACTAATGTAAATGATAGTGCAGCTATGGGATAAAGAAGTGCAAGTGGAGTGCAAAGAATAATAATTGAAAATGTCACTAGTTGCAAGTGAAAGACATGAGAGTTAAATAATTGCTATCAGAGGAAGGATTGCAATGAGCCATACTCCCACAATAGATTATATGGCAGAAGTGAAGCAAGATTCTGGATAGGGTAAGTGACGAGTTCCATTCAATTGAGGAAGAATAAAGCATTATTAAACAGGGTATCTAGATGTAGGAGCTGATGTTAAAAATAGATGGAGCATTAAGAAAATCTGGAATAAGGAAGGACAAATGGGGATTCGGACAAGTGTACAAATATGATTGAAGTTTAAATAAAAAAAAAATGAGAATAAATTCACCCATATAGTCCACAGATGGTGTTTTATGCATCATATTTTGATATAATTACTAATAGCAATGACAAAATAGGAGATTAAGAATAGATGGAAAATGAAACAAAATGGTTAGATGTAAATAGGTTAAGGATAAAAGTAAAATTAGAAATGAGATGCTGACGAAACTAAAAGGCAAAAAACTTCTGAAAATTATGTGTTTGTCAAATGTAGTAAACTGATACCTGGCAACAATTTGTATCAGTCTTTTAGAAGTTTGAGTTGTAAGTAGTAATGGAGAAAATTAATACAAGAGAGAATACAGCAACATGCAATATTGCCAAAGAATACAGCACTTTGTGGAATACAGCCATATTAACATTGCCAAAGATCAGCCCATCATAGCATATAAAACAATGTAATGAATTTTATGGCGAGTGTTTAATTTTTTTTACTATGATGAATCACTATGGATTCTTCCATGAACCTTTAAAATCCGTTCTTCTCCCTCCTATTTCCTTTCCTTTCCATCCCCTCCAGTATTTTTCTCCCCCTCTCCTCACCAATAAAATAAATAAAACCAAAGGTTGCCATTTAGCCACATTGCCAAATATATAATGTATATATATAGCGAGTGATGGCTCTAGCCAATACACCACAGAGCTCTCTGTTTACTTGGAAATTTTGCTCAAGTTCACCTTGCTCCAGATTGCTTAAACTGTTCATATATTAACCATCAAGGAACTTCATTGAATTACAAAACTTAAATCTCAAGAATTTAAAAATAAACACGCAAGTTCTCTAAATATCGTATGAGATGGAAATATTTTTGGATAAAATATTAATTCAATGAAAACTGAGATAAGTGATGAACCTTATAAGGGATACACCTTATAAAGGCAGATAAATACATAATGTAGGAAGCTACATGTTTTTATAGTAATAATTGTAATGTTGCAGCACTATACTGCACAGTATTTAGTCTAGGTGTACCAAATAATGTACCTTATAGGATCGGTTACCAATGAACCCAAACGTTAGCGTGAGTGCTTGGGTAGTGCAGTTGTTCCGCATCACTAACTTTCGCGAGCTTGTTTCTCCAATGCTCACAGTGCCAAATACAAGGCGTGATTTGGTACTTTCAAGGGCCGTGGCCAAGTCCTTTTCAGCCTGATAAAAATAAAGTGCTTATTAGAATGGCATGCACATGGTAATTATTTAATTCAGAACACACATGACCATAAAACTATTCACAGCAATTATATTCAATCTATCTATGCACAGTATCTTTCAAATCAAACTTGGGATATCGAGTTCAAGTGCTAAATTCTACCAAGAATGTACAGGTTACATTATAAGTTATATTAATACAGGTACAGTATTGGTAAATTGACATTTGACCAATAATCAGCACAATACAGTACTGTACTATACAATAATACTAACCACTTGTGACAATGGGACACTGTTTGATTTTGTTACCACCATTGTGGCACCACTTGACTTTGCTACAGCTACTGAGGAGTGGTTTGATTTTGGTAGATTTTCGTGAACACCTGCCACGGAAAGTTTTTCAGGAACGACTGCTGGAGACGGAAGCGCATTAGATATGCCCACTATTGGCAATTCAAATTCCATTCCTTCTGGTTCAACGCGCATCAACACAACACTGAAACACAAAGAAATTGTTGACTCGACAAAATATATAAAATAAGATAAAACATACAAACAACAAACCATTGTGTTTCACTCATCTCTCACAAAATATTCAGACGATGAGTCACAATGTGGCTGAAGATATGATTACCAAACCACTCGTGAGAAAATGGAGAAATAATGACATTTTTTCCATTTTCTGATGTGTGGTTTGGTCATCTAACAAAATAAATAAATGCAGTGTATATGCAGCATATCAATACAATTATGTACAATTTATATCAAATGTAACACACCTTTAAAAGACCCAAGAATGTAGACCTAATAAAAAAAAAAAAGTTCTGCACATCTACTCCATAACAATAACAAATGGATTACCTTTTCATTTTGCCAGCTTGTCCTCTTGGTGCAAACACAAGCTCTGGAGCGGCTTGTGAATGCGCCTGAATCACTATGTTATTAGGATGAACCTTAAATATATCTTCATACTCCTTTGACTTGAGAGAGATTCGAAGGGCAAATGTAGACGAGTTTTTAAGAGCAAGAGTAGTTGTACAAGTTTCATTGGACATTGTCTCCAAAGTGAAAGACTCTGCAGTGCGTAAAGACTGAAGACGAACTGCACCAATGTGAGCCTGAAGAAAAAGGGAATTGCAGTTTATTTATGCACCCTTGAAAATTCAAGAGGTCGTACATCATCATTACTGTACACCAATCTCCAATTTCACTGGTGGAAGAAAATTAAACAGAGAAGGCAAGATATTACCCATTAGCAGCTTGTTTCAACAGATCCCAGTCCAAGAAACAACGGCCTGGTCCTCAACCACGCCTCCTTTTTGTTACACACCCCCAGGAAGCAGCCCATAGCAGCTGTCTAACTACCAGGTACCTATTTACTGCTAGGTGAACAGGAACATCAGCGTGAAAGAAACTCTGCCCATTTGTTTCCGCCTCCACCGAGGATCGAACCCAGAATCTCAGGACTACGAATCTGAAGTGCTGTCCACTCAGCTGTCAGGCCCCCAAACAAACTGATAGGATGTCAGATGGTCAATGTAATGGATTTTTATCTGGATTATCAAAACAATGAATAGTGAAACCTTAACAAATCTGTATTAATTGGGTCTAGATCTGTTGTAAACTTTCAAGTACAGTACCTGTACAGTATTCCTGAATTAGAAATACAATACAAAATTAGATTTTTTTCATAAAATTGTTGTATTTTATATTGTATTTATATTACAGCACTGAATACATATTATATTTACATTGTACCAAGGAGTCATCGATGTTATTGTGTGCAAAAGTAAAGTGTCACCTTACAAATTAATAAAAGTATTTATGTGTACACCTGGTAACAAACTGCATGTGCAAAGGAAGAAATGTACAGTATATGTTTATTACTCAGAATGATCGGTAATGTGTTGATTGATTGTGATGCGTGTATTTATTTATGAACACGTTGTACTGAACAGGGTGAGAATAGCTTGAGCTACCTCATCCCTTTGTGTGTATTTATACCTCAATAAACGTCTTTCAATTTCAATGGGCATCCACAAAGTAGGATATCTTTAAGCATTTTGTAATATTTATTTACAGAATAATTCTTGTTGATAATCCAGAATAATGTCGCCTGCTTTTGTTTGTTTTACTAGAAGGGGTACCCGAGATAATCTGTCCCCCCTCTCCATTCCCCATTCCACCCTTCTCACAGACCACCTCTTCCCTCCCTTTTTCCCTCTTCTCTCATCTCCCCCCATTTTCTCCTCCTCTCCCCAATTCCCTTACCCTCTCTCCCCGACTCTTCCCCAGTAAGAACAGTCAGATATTTCCATTTATATGTATTTCCTTGGGGAAGGGGATACCCAAATGTGCTCAAATTTTTCTCTACCCTCTCTAACCTCTTCCCCACCTCCCTCTTCTCTCTCATCTCTCTATTTCCTAATCCCCCCTGTGTTCCCATCTCTCCATTGCTCCCCTCTCACCTCTTCCCCCCTCACCACCTGTCTCCTTTCCCCTTTTCAATGTACCTCCCCCTCTCTTCAAACAATCCCACCTCTTCCCACTTCTCTATCTCTGACTGTTATTGTTATCTGTTTGTCTTCCTGTCTATATCTTTGACCTGGTTGACCTGTGTCTCTGCAGGCCTGCCTGCCTGCCTGTCTGTCCTCATTCTCTCTCTCTTTACTCTCACTCACTCACTCGAACCTAGGTCCTAATGGCCCAGGTTCGATTTCCTGCATAGGGGGAAACAAATGGGCAGTTTCTTTCACCCTGTTCACCTAGCAGTAAATATGAACCTGGAAGTTAGACAGCTGCTACAGGCTGCTTCCTAGGGGTGTATGTGTGCGCATGTGTTAAAAGAGAAATATATATAGTTGATATAATAAGAGGAAAAATAGAATGGTTAGAAAAGTGGGGTCTAAGAGCTGATTGCATGCAAAATTTCTAATTTTACAATTTTTTTCTAATGAAACAGATAGATCTATACTGTATACAAAGAGTATACAAAAAAATAGAGCCTAAAACACAAGCCTAAAACATAGCCCCTCTGAATTTCGTATTTCTAAATATAACAACTAGGATTATGCACATAATAAAGGTCTGACTAATGGGGGAGCAAGAACAATTTTAAAGATCTCCATTTTCATAAAGCACTGCTAAATTAAAAAAAAAAGTAAATACACACACAATAACACTTGCCTTTACTGGAAAACTTGCAATAATTATAGTTGAATGGTTGGGAGTGTCCAGCTCCACCTGTATCTGACTTCTCACTCCCACCACACCAGCCTCACCAACTCCAGGGCAAAAAAATAGCACATTAGATTAATTACAATCCTACAAAACCTTATAACACACAATCTACCCACTAACAGTATGTAGCGGTGTATGATAAGTTGGTCAATATAAAAACTGATTTCAGAAATCTAAATAAGGATTCATTCAGGACCCTACATGCAAACATGCCAGAAACATCCTGAAATATGCAGTGCCTGCACAGTCCTTATCTTGTCAAGTACGAAATGAAGCCGAGGAAAGTTCAGTTATGCAAACAGACTAGTCCCTGAACACAGGGGTATGAGTTATGAAGAAAGACTGATGATATTGAACATCATATTACTGAAAGATAGTTCAAAAGGAAGTCATGATTACTGCTTCAAATATTCTCAGAAAAATTGTTAAGACAGGTAAGGTAAGATAAGGTAAGGTAAGGTAATTATGGAGAAAAAGCGCTAAGCTCATATAACTATATAGCACTTGGAAACGAGTATGAGGATAAGGATCTGGAACATGGCAGAGAGAAGGAATGGTGCCCACCACTTGGACCATCAGGGAGTGATCATCATCTTGCAAGAAGTGAGGCCTCAACTCTACCAACCAGTTCAAATGGTTGGGTAAATTGATAGAACAGACAAGAACATTGATTGGGATGGGTGGTAATGAACGAGGGAAGAGGGATGGAGAGAACCCCAAATGAGCTACAGACATTAAAAGAATTTAGTTTACAAGCAGCAAACACATGGTATGCACAAAGAAGTGATAGAGGAAGACTACCACAGTTTCAAATGTGAATTTGGCATATCACAATAAGCTCTAAAACCTATAAACCAGATGACTGAAGGTTAAAAGGCAGAATCAAACAGCTAAAGCTCAACCACTGCAAGGTAAGTACAATTAATATAGGCCTTACCACAAAAAAGGAGACATATAGCACAGGTTTTTGTAATACAGTGGTACCTCGCATAACGATTGCCCCAAAAGACGAATATTTTGGGTAACGAACGGCCCGATCGGCGTCAAATCGTCCCTTATGACGAACGCTGGTTTGAGTAACGTCAACACCACATGGTGGGGTCGCGCTGCTTCTTGCACATTCTTAGACGCCTCCGACGATGCACATAAATTATGTTGTTCTTGTTTAAAGATGCTAATGATGCTGGGATATAAAAGGGTGACTACTGAGATGTTGCAAAGCATTGACGTTTTTGTAGGAAAAAAGAAATGAAATGTCTGATATACAACAAATGTCAAAAAGGTTCGTTCGGTGTTCGGCAGGTAGGCTGCTCCATTATAACAATCTTTCTTTGTTTCAAATGTGTTCCATTTGTTTTTTATTTGTCATTTGCGTCTCAATAATGGAGAAGCCTACCTTACATACACTGAATAAACCATTATGACATTTTCCTTTCTTCAAATGTGTTCAATATTTATTTTTCATTTGCCTTATAGCAAAAGGTTCGTTCGGTGGTCGGCAGGTAGGCTGCTCCATGTTTCTTACATACAAAAAACGTAAATAATAAAAAAAATGAAGAATTTTGAAAACCAGTACAAATGTCAAAAAGGTTTGTTCCGTGGTCTACAGGTCGGCTGCTCCATGTTTCTTAAAAAAAAAAAAAAAACGAAAAATAAAAGAACTGTTGAAACAATTTGAAAAATGGACAAATGTCATAAAGGTTCGTTCAGTGTTTGTCGGGTAGGCTGCTCCATTATTGAGACGTAAGTGACAAATACAAAACAAATGGAACACATTTGAAACAAAGAAAGATTGTCATAATGGAGCAGCCTACCCAACAAAAACTGAACGAACCTTTTGCCATAACGAATATGAAAGACAAGGGCTGCTGGCTGGGTTAGTACTGCGTGAGCAACCATTTGTGGCACACGTGCCTCTGGCTCTCAAACACCTGTCCCACACGGTGTTGAAAGACTGTGCTCAGTCGGTGCAATTCAGACCCTTTTGTTTGAAGAACATAAGGGTCATAACATTGGTGAAGCTAGGCGCAATAAGGGCTTAACACAACGGTCGGATGCCAGTGATACAGCACCTATGAGGATGATACAGCAAGCGTATCCAGGTGTAGCTCTGAGCCCCACCCTTGCCATCTCTAATGTATATAGATGATACATAGATGAATCGTTTTCTGCGTTCAGTGATGATGCATCTGATACAAGTAGCATAGATTAACAGTGTTAGCGGCTTCCATGGTGGTGGTGTTCATTGATATTTTCAAGAATACCTGAATCTTTTCCTGACTGATGGACACTCTTTGAGGCTAGCTGAATCTCTTCCTGACTGATGGACACTCTTTGAGGCTAGCTGAATCTCTTCCTGTGTGGGACCTTACAAAGCGATCTTTTCAAGACTACCTTACAAATTGAGCTTTTCCTATAATCGTTTCAATACTACTTTATGCTTTACAAGCTTGGCTACATACCACCTACAAGTACTAAAGCCAAGGGTGCACGCAAGTGCGTTATTTGCAAGCACACATAACGATGAAACAGGAAGCAAAAATCTATCTGTAGCTGGTGCAAGGAGAGCAAAGTCGCGCTGTGTACCATGGACTACTTCGTTGACTATTATGCACCTCCAAAGTACTGAGTGTGTAATACAGTGTGTTACTGTGTAAATAGTATGTGAAACTGTACATATTGTAATATTAGTGAATTTTTACCACGTAATATTGTGACAATAAACATTTATTGTGGACACATTACTGACACATGTATCACAGTTTCATGGAAAATTATGAACATTCTACTGTATACATATTGTAAAGGTCACAAATATGCATCATATACGATAAATGAAACAAATAAAACCGCATTGGAAATGCATAGAAAAAATATTTGAAAATATATTTGTGGCAACACGCGGTGCTTGAATGGCCTGCGCGACCGTGTCTGGGAGCTTCACACACGGGCGACCAGGCCCTGATGACGTCACAGCGCACCTTGTCCACGCCCTCACAGCCAAAGTAAGTGGAATTTGGTAATTATTTTTACATAGACATGTTCAGGGACGGTAATTTATCATTTTACAAAGAAAAATTTTATTTTGGGGAACATTTGATGTCATGCACTCTGGGGAAATTTCACAATAAACACAGTGCATCACACTGGTTACATGGGGGGACACTCGTTTTGTATGACGTCCGTTTCACATGACGAACATGGAACGGATTAAATTCGTTATGCGAGGTACCACTGTACTTACAGTAATAGTATACAATGTCACTGCTCTAGAATAGTATGTTAGTGATACTCACACACTATACAGTAATAAAATCTCTTAAAATTAAATTACCTTTAACATTATCAAGATGTGGAGCTTTAAGGGAAACATCCATTGTCTGTGGAACTGGACCAGACTCTGCCCCGGCGGCTGGAAGTTCCAGTGACAAACGAGTAGACGAAATAACTTTTGCAAAATCAATTTTTCTGGCATCCCAGAAAAATATTGGGGAAGTTACTGCTACCTGTAAAATAATTATCAACAGTAGTTTCACCAAATGATTATATTTATTATAAATACAAGGAAACACAGTAATGATAATGTGCACCTTTCATGGGGTATGGAGGCCTTGGGCTGAAGAGAAAAGGGGAATAGAGATGGAAGGTTATCAATATAAAACATAGCACTTGTCTACTCAACATAGCACTGGTCTACTCACCGTATTATAAACATTATATATCACTCATCTATTCATTCAATCACACTTGGACTAGACAACACAGCACATGTCTCGCTTCTTGTGGGTCTGTGTTCAATCCCCGATGCTCCAAGTGGTTGGGCACCATTCCTTCCCTTTGCCCTATCCCAGATCCTTGTCCTCCCATTTCCTTCCAAATGCTATATTGTAGTCATACTGGCATAGAGCTTTCTCCTTATATTTACCTTACCTTGTCCATTCATTATATTATCGACATTATATAATACTCATCCATTCATCACATTACCTATATTATATAGAACTTGTCCATTCATCACATTACTAATTTTATACAGCTCTTGTCCATTCATCCTATTCTCTATATCACACTCATCTATTCATCATATTACCAATATTATATAGCATTACGGCTAAATAATCCCCACCACACTTCAGTACTGATGACAAATTCAAATGTTTATTCAGGTAAAAGTACATAGATGATGAGTTTACAAACACAATGTTGGATTTATAGACAGAGTACATACAATACCTAAAGCCACCAATATCCATAACGTTTTGAGCACCAAACTGCTTCATAATACCTGGTGTACAGTGCACCCAACAAAATCTGTATATCATCATTCAGGACCCATCCAGGCTTTTAAAAGTGTTCTGAACTTTCAAATACTTTGCATTACACTAGCAATATTCTTTTGTAATTTATATTTGTCATTCGCAGAACCTATTTATTCCCATAATGTGCCTGATCCAACTTATCAAAACCCGAGTCACTGTGCATTTTTTCCTGCATTCGTTGCTACCAGAGCACAACTCTCCTAGCAGTGAACTTTACAACCCTAACAGGAGCAGGATTCATCAAGCACTTACATGCTTTCCTATCACTAGTTGTGGGGGCAAGTGAGATGTAGTACTTTATGCCCTGCCAACTAGCTGTTTACACCTGATGCTCTCTCGCTCTCTCTCTCTCACGCTCACTCTCTCGCATGCTCTCTCTCTCAACTTTAAAACTTTCACCACATTACACACAGAGATCACAATAACGTGATGCATCAAATGAACAAATCCACAAGGGGGGATCCAGTAAGTTCAGTAGAACTTCGGTTTCAACCCTTTTAACCCTGTCGTAGCTCAGTCGATTAAGGCAGTGTCTGGGATGCTCCCAGACGCAGGTTCGAATCCTCGTCACGGCCCTTGTGGATTTGTTTCACCACATTTTTTCTGAAAGTTGTGGATAGAATTGGCTTCAACAACCTCTTCTTTCAATGTATTCCACTTGCCAACTAGCCATGCAAGGAGCAACAACTTCCATACAGCTCTGACTCAAATGCATGTCCAGCATCCAACTATGTCCCACTTATCCTACTTTTTTAATATAAATAGGCTTCCTTTATCCACTTTATCTATTCCCCTTTATCTACTCATTTAAATTTATAAATAGAAAACTCTTGAAATTAATATCTTCCAATTACATGAAAAGGTTGAACAGGTATACCCATGGGAAATATTTATTATAATAACTTCAAATTATATAATATTAACATAAATCTTTGAGAGGAGAACTCTGTTCCTGTTCCATTAACAAATTAATACACAATTTATAAGTGCATAGTTATACAGGGTGACACCTATACCCCACAATGGCTGGGCAATGCTGCTTTGGCTCCTATGTCACACACCATAATAAACAATCAGGAGACTGAAGTCTTCTCTGATCACTTCTTATAAAGTATGTGATTCAAAGAAATTAATCAGATCTTAGAGAACTAATTGAATTAATATTGGTAATTAAAATTCAAAAACAGATAGAGCTTAAGACTAGATAGATAAATAAATAATTAAAGATTCTCCATCACACTGGAGGTGGGGAGGGGAGAAGGAAGGCTGAGGTGGCCGTTGGTGAATGACACGAGACTTGGTCGGGACGAGCTGTCATTATGCAGCCAAAAAGGGGGAATGACTCCACTTCAGCTGCTGTTTTGATCTCCACTCTTACGAAATCTGGTCGTGCCCTCCTCACACTATAGCTGTAGCCAAGTGACACCCCAGTCTTATCCTGTTGCATAGATATTGCGGCCATAGTATGCATGTATAGGTGGAGCACAGTGGGTGGATGAACGTGGTTATGAGGCAACACAACCCAAACATCTTACGCAAGAGCTCAACTTAATATACTCATAAATATTAACGAAGAATAATTTGGATAAATCAAATATAAACTGAACTCCAATCTAATGATGACTGTCAGCAGGAGGAAGTTGATTCTACGAGTTCACCTACTGGGAGCACGATGGGGCAGCCATGTTGTTCACCACAGGGTGAGGCCTGCCTACTCTACTTGCCAGCTAAGCCTTTAACTTATAAATTATTAACTATGATTTAGGTGTTCCAGTAATCATTGATCAATTAAATAAGTTTGATTTGAAATCAAATCTGAACCCAAGTTCAACAATATGCTGGAAAGTCTAAATCTTAATTAATAAATGAAATTAAACTAACCCAAAATTGTGTGTAGGAGCCTAATCAAATATTCTCTATACAGTCTACTGATCTATCACAAATGGCAAAAAAAAATTCCCACAATATCAGAATGACCTGTCTTGTATCAAAAAACCAAAGGATTAAATTTTTAAAAATAATTTAGTACAGAACAATACAAATATTAAAACTATAATTTACCACTCTTACTAAGAACACAAGATTTAACACAGCCTTTATTTAACCAATAACAAATGCATAAGACAATGTTAAAAAATAAATACCCCGAGACTGTGTACATTTTCCTGCAACACACTAGCGGCCAACATCCCAACATACATATATACATACATATATATATATATCTTCTATCTTGTTTCTGATATATGTAAATGATCTCCCGGAGGGTAAAGATTCATTTCTCTCAATGTTTGCGGACGATGCCAAAATTATGAGAAGGATTAAGAGAGAAGAGGACTGTTTGAGGCTTCAAGAAGATCTAGACAAACTGCAGGAATGGTCGAACAAGTGGTTGTTAGTGTTTAACCCAACCAAATGTAATATAATGAAGATAGGTGCAGGGAGCAGGAGGCCAAATACAAGGTATTACCTGGGAGAGGAAATTCTTCAGGAGTCGGAGAAAGAAAAAGACTTGGGAGTTGATATCACGCCAGACCTGTCTTCTGCAGCACATATCAAGAGGATAACATCAGCGGCATATGCCAGGCTGGCTAACATACGAACAGCATTCAGAAATTTGTGTAAAGAATCATTCAGAACTTTGTATACCACATATGTCAGGCCAATCCTGGAGTATGCAACCCCAACATGGAGTCCATATCTAGTCAAGGATAAGACTAAACTGGAAAAGGTTCAAAGATTTGCCACCAGACTAGTACCCGAGCTGAGAGGTATGAGCTACGAGGAGAGACTACGGGAATTAAACCTCACTTCGCTGGAAGACAGAAGGGTTAGGGGGGACATGATCACCACATTCAAGATTCTCAAGGGAATTGATAGGGGTAGATAAAGACAGGCTATTTAACACAAGGGGCACACGCACAAGGGGACACAGGTGGAAACCGAGCGCCCAAATGAGCCACAGAGATATTAGAAAGAACTTTTTTAGTGTCAGAGTGGTTGACAAATGGAATGCATTAGGAAGTGATGTGGTGGAGGCTGACTCCATATACAGTTTCAAGTGTAGATATGATGGAGCCTAATAGGCTCAGGATCTGTACACCTGTTGATTGACGGTTGAGAGGCGGGACCAAAGAGCCAGAGCTCAACCCCCGCAAGCACAACTAGGTGAGTACACACACACAAAGAAAACAATAAACATTGTCTACAATTGTGCAGAACCAACCTGTTGCAGATGCAATATTACTGGAAGAGGCTGGGGAGAATGGTTAATGAGAGTTACTTTCTTGGACACATTGCAGCCTTCTGGTACCACCCCAAAGTCCAGCTCATCTTCTCCGTCACACGTCAGCTCAACCTAAGTGAAAAATGCCAGTGAAAGCTTAAAACAAGTTACTTAAAGATTCAGAAAATATTAAAGCCGTACTGTGGTATTGAACCTGCACTACAGAACACCTTAGGCACAAGCACTACCAACTGGACTACTACTGACCAGTTGGTAGTGCGCATGCCTGACAAATTCAGGGATACGGGTTTTTATCCCATCGTATGGCTACAATACTTTCCCTGTTACAGCATATCACGTTCTTGCGACTTCACTGTTCACTTTAAAAATGTTACACACCATCAACTCGTCCAATATGTAGATGGAAATTTATGAAAACCATAACTTATTAAAATTTCCAATAACCATTGACAAAAGTAGAGCGCCCCACACACAATTGTAGTCAAACACACAAATACAAGCTAACAAAGCAAATGCATGAACAGGCCTTACAAAATCTAGTATAGACTTCTTTAATTATGGTTATCACTGCTAGCTTCTTACTAGGTTTATTCTAACTTGCACTTAATTTTTGTATTAATTTATTTTTTATTAACTATTGTAATTTCAAGAGATCTCATCATCATTTTAATGAGTGCATTCAAATATTTGAAGGCAGTCTAAATACAGTACTTAAATTATATAGTACTTGGTACCATACATATTTTATTCTAATAGATTCTTCATTTTTCAGCCAAGCTATTTGACTGAAAATCTCATACCCCCTTTTCACCTACATTAAAAATGGTACAACAACAACATAATCCCATTAGAGTGTAAATTGCATTCAAACAGTACCACCGCAGGTGATGCGTTAGTGTACGATAATCCACCCCATCATTGTCCTGACAAATAGTATGTTTCTTGCTGTCTGTGAAAAAAGTACGCTCCAATTTCTGCATGAAGAGGGCACAAAGCTTGCTGAAAATCATCAGTGTGCAGACTTTATGTAGGATCCTTGAGGAAATATTCTGAATACTATAACACTCTATACAATATTTGATAATGGCAGGCCATTAGTTCAAGAGAGACATTTCCTTCACAGTAAAGTATGTTTGCAAAATTATTTCTAACTTCTTGAAGACCAAGTTTTAAAAACATGGTAATTTTTGGAACAGAATTTTGGAAAATCTATATAAAGTACTGTACTGTATGTACTACATGTCCAACAAAACTGCAAATTACTTAATATATCTGCCTGAGTAAAATACACGTTCCTTTCTGTATACAGCGTTTATATGTATGCATATATATTTTACCTATCTGTAGATCTGTAAATAGTCTTCATACCTTAAGCCACGTTATTGTGACTCATCGTCTACATTTGTAAATATTTATGCATATCTGTATTTCTACTTGTGTAGCTGCATCTTGTGTGTTTATCTATACATTTGTTTAACTGTATCTCCGTATTCTTCGTTATAATTGTAGAGGACGAGCTACAGTTTTTAGGTCCCATTCCTCAATCCCTAACTCTTAGACTATTCTAGTGCAGCAGTATAACAACAACTATACAGTACTCTCACATCCATAATTTTTAAAAAATAAAATAAAAAGGCTGTATGCACTACCTTGGACATACAGAATTGAATTTAAAAGTTTTTTATATTAATGTCAAGACCTGAAATTTACATCAATAGTTATCATGAAATTTTGTATTACTAGAGAAAGTACAATATTGTATAAATAAAGTAAATCATGAAAAATACAAAAATGTGCCATTAGACTCTAGTTTTTCAATCATATGTTCTTGGATGTGTTTATGCAAAAGGAATCGATTCTTTAAAATTTATATACAAGTTTTATCTTCCTATTAGATAATCTTAATTTTATATATGCCAGTTTTTACTCATTTCATGAATATACTGTAAAGACAAACCTAAATATTCTTGACTTTTAATATGCCTAAACATCAACTGGCATTAATCCTAGTCTGATCCTGTTAACTCAAAATTTTCATTTGAAATTAGTCAGTCTTAACTTAACTGGTGTCTAGGTTCCAGTATGTACTGGGTTTTACTGTATTTTAGTCTAAAGATGTTTATAAAGAATTGAATGCAAGAAGGATGTGTTGTAGTTTACTTGATCACATGGAACAATCTATTAAGATGATTAATATATAAAAAGGTGAATACACAAGACATTCACATGTTGTACCTGTGCTTAATAACACAAGAAATATTGTATAGCTAAGAAAAGCTATCAAACTAAGAGCTGTTCAAATAACACCCCCAATTTTATTGACACCCCCCTTCAATAAAATTATTCTCTGATCAAATGTTATCACAATAACTATAACCATTTCATTCACTTGGATCATCAGAGATCTGAACTCTGCCTACACAATGTGTGCAGGCTGCAGTGTGTGCACAGGCCAACTGACATTTTAACCCTTCCCTGGAGCCTCACTAAAGTATCTAGAGAAAATCCAACCCTTCATTCATGCCATATACATTACCATCAAATACCCTAGTGGTGATCCAAGGTTTAGTCTCCACTGAGTATCAGTTAGGTACTTCTGAGATCCTTCTTTATTTTGAGCATCTGGTTGGGTGGACAATGGTCACACATTGTGCGGGCAGAGTTCACAACTCCACTGATCCAAGTGAAAGAAATGTTAATACCCACGCTATTATGGACTGCATTATACTTGTAAACATCACTTGATACAGGTACTTACATTTGGCTCATTAATATTAGCAGAGACAATAATTGTGTGAAGAGAGATTTGTGAAGCAGCTGCATATGTGCCAGAACCCTTGGCAAGATCTGACACTCTAACTTCAAAGATAGCCTCCAAGAGCCCTTTAAACTGGGAGCAAACACCCAGCTTGATTTCACATCTATTTCGTGGTTCCACAAAATAAGATGGCTTAAATAACAATGCTGAAACAGTAGTAGGGCAGCTATCAATAGTTTCCTGAAAGAAAAAAATATTAATTTTGCAGGCTGAGAATTATTATAATACTAATATTTTTATTTCTTCTGAACTGAATGAAATTTAAGACCTGAAACTATTGGGTATCAAAACCACCAATCATATCATTACATGTTCCACAGGTGGAGAAGCAATAACTTAGAAGATACAGTATACAAGATAAACGAATGGAAAGAGGATTCATGATTCTCGAACAGAGACTTGTTCATTCCCCATTTCTTCCATGCTATCTAGCATCACAGAATCATCACAATCATGCATTAATTAAATCACTATCCTGTTCAAGACATTCATGGAGCTGGCAAGGCATCAACCAAAAGAAAATGACAAGTAATATAGGTTACAGATAATAAATAAAACCTTAAAAAAGTGTGTTGTTTATTATTTATTATGTCATACAACAAATACAATACAGTATAAATGAATAAACAAGCTCAAGCTCTACAGCAGCATCCCCACCCCTTATTAAGACCAAGTGTTCAGTGCTGCTTGCGAATTGTTTCATACATTACATGCAAATACATTTACTTCTTACCTACAAACTATTTCCACTACCATCCTGTATGTTGTTCACTCCCTCCCCACTTCCTGACACATATCTTGAGATGATTTCGGGGCTTTTTTTAGTGTCTCCACCCCTAGGAAGCAGCCCGTGACAGCTGACTAACTCCCAGGTACCTATTTTACTGCTAGGTAACAGGGGCATAGGGTGAAAGAAACTCTGCCCATTGTTTCTCGCCAGCGCCTGGGATTGAACCCAGGACCACAGGATCACAAGTTCAGTGTACTGTCCGCTCGGCCGACCTGCCATGTTCACCCCACCTCCTCCCTGCCCTTCCTCTTTTATTCTCAAATTCGCTCTAATTCACACTTCACCAGTCAATCATCATCCATTTGTTTAACATGCCCAAACCATCTCAGTAGAGTATACTCTTCTTAATCTTGCAGTTTATTGACTTTTACACCCCACATCACTCCGTGGCATTTTCCCTTCTTTCCTTTATCTACTGTGTTAATCTAATACCCAACATGCTGCTCGGAGTGTCAATTTCTCATTTTGATTACTGTATTCACATTCATGCCACACGTCTCATGACTAAAGTTGGTGCCACTAATGCTTCGTGCAGACCTTTGGCTGCATGTATTTTTTATCTTTGGTTTTCCTGGCTCACCTCATACACTGCTTCAATTGTACAAATACCTCTTTTAGCACTCTCATCCCAGGTATCCCTGGGATCCATCACTGATCAACCACCTCCAGCACTTCAACCATTCACAATTATTTCACACAATTTCCTTTTCTCTCCACCCATTTAACTTTAATTTTCTCCCCATTTGCTTAATAATAGTCCCTCGCACATCAATACAATTTTCCACTTGTCTAAATAGCTTTCTCCCATACTCTGCTTAAAGAATTCCTGGAAACAGATCTCCAAATACTCATAATAGGCCAATACACTATATTTACAGCCCTCTCTTGTGCTCATTATCTTGTCTATACAGTATATTGAATAACCACAGTGACAACTTTTATGTTGGGCAAGCTAAAATAAAATACCAAGGGCACCAAAAGGGTAGGTAGGGCACAAAGAGCACCATCTCCACAAAGGTGCTCCACAAAGAGCAGCTATAGAGGACCTCTCTTCCTCTATAGCTGCTATCAGGCAAGTACTGGTATACACTAATACTAACCCTTCCTCTGAACAGCCCTCATAAGCACATTCAAACATTATTGTATTTTCTGGCATATAAGATGCCTCTATTTACAAGGACTTTTTTTTTTAACACAATTTCCATGTTTGGCCCATGCATTTACTGAATTTTATTTTCAAATGGCTGTGTAGGAAAAGCATTCAGTATTTTGCATGTAAATATACACAGTTGGTGGTGAACCATAACCCATAACCATGCATCCTATCTGGCAGCAAATACAGTAGTTTCTTGGCACTTTTAATCAGTTTGAATTGACCTCTTGATACTCCCATCTCTATGAGCACACTAAAGTCTGCTCCTGGTGTTTGGCAGGCCTATGCAGGTTTAGAGGCCTGGTAGTTTCATGGATGCCTCTGCGATATCATAACCAATGCTCCCGAGAGCTACCGAGGGCCAGCCTTGAAGCGACTTACCTGCACCAGTTTGAGGGACACCTGGACCCAGCGTGGCGATGGATTGTGGAAACTGATACGCACATCTGAAGCAATTCCAATCACACAAACATTGGGGAAGACTACTCGCTGGGGAAGATTCAATTCACCTGCAGCTGTAGTTATCAGATTATTTATATTAGACTAAAAATTCATAACTAAAGCATTATCAAATTCATTCTGTTAATGATATACAGCAGTATTTCAATCTTCAAAGCCTCAACCATCATTAAATAAGTTGTACATGTATTATTAAAATGTCTTCAACAGTTTAATTACAGTAGGCCTACATTACTATTATTAAAACTAATTACCAAAATCAACTTTTTAATTACATTTTCTTACAAACAAGAACTCTTACCTGTTTGTTGAGTTACATTCTCTTGAGAGTGGTACTTCCTTGTTTCTTGATTGTAATTAGTAGCCTGAGTTAATGTCACTGGAGTACCACCTGCCATACCTATCGACTGCAGCCCTGCAGGAAAACTTGTAGATCGTACTGCAGTCGCAGCAACTGTATTAGGCGGCAAATCCCTTCTACTTGTCGCCGAAGGTACTGAAATCGCAACACTTTCAGAAGTGTGACTACTCGACGGTTCTTGAATTCCTAATGAACTTTTCTTAACTGTGGTCCTTAATGGCCCAAGACTAAATTGTGGTGCATCTTTATTCTGGCTTAAGGCCACTGGGCCCTTGGCAGAGCTTTCAGATGATGTTCTTGGATTTATTAAATCGGTTCCTAATCTATAGTTCTCAACGACTGTCTCGCCCTCAGATCTGGAACGAAGTGAGCTACTTGGAGATATTTTAGATCTTGATTTAGTCCAGGCAACACATGGTGTTGATGAATCAATTCCATTGCTATTATCATCGTGAAAACTAGGCAGGTGCAATTTGTGCGTTTCCTCTAGAATTGTGGATTTATACCGAGCCATTTGAATAGACTCATCAATGGTAGTGTTTTCACTAGCGTAATTGCTATTAAAATTTGTTTTAAGAGATTGTGTTGCTTCTCCAGGGGCTGAGTTACCCTTGCTTACTTTCAGTCTCTCCATGTGTTTGTGTGATACACCAACACTTGGTTTTAGTGTGCTACCACTCGGTGGCAGCTGTGATGCTTTTTTGTCCAAATTCTTTCCAAGTTTTTGGGTTATCTCCTTCCCAATGTTCTCTTTGCCAAGTGAAGCTCCGTCAGCTTTTTGGACAGTTTTTGCTTGTGGCTTTGATTGCATTGCCTCTCTCTGCCTCCTTAACTCAAGGACATCTTTACTCATATCAAGGTCAGTTTCATCTAAAGTTTTATGCATGGCTGACTTCTGCTGTGTCATCATTATAATTCTGTCAATTAATTCTTGAGGATTTTGACTCGCAAGTGCATCTGACATTAAGGAACTGATCATCTCTGCACTTGGAAAATCATTAATGTTATTCAAAGTTTCTTCAAAATTTTGAGATTTCTCCGAAAGTGGTAATTTCCCAACATTATCCTTCTTTTGGGCAGGTTTTTCTGGTATTTTAAACAGAGGCTCACTGAGGTATGATCCCATCAGATCCTTAGAAGGCTTAATATTAGCAACTTTGCTAATATCTTTAGGGTGGCCTAATTTAACGGAACTAGGAGCACTCAAATTATTTTTTTTCTGTGAGTTTGGTGGAAGTGCTTCCTCTGGTGAACCATCATCAAGCTCGGGGGCACAACAACTGTCTGAATCGGAACTTTCAGATAATCGTTGGGTATCGTTAGAGTCAACTGTCATTGTTTTTTGCTCCTCATCTGCATCTGAAGGTAAAAATTTAACTATAAGTAACACATGTACCATTTTTGTGTGAATTACAGTCTTCTGTATGAACTCAAACATGAAAGATTATGCTATTTAAATTTAAAAGTATACTATACTTAACCCAAAATACACCAAGACCAACTACTAAGCACAATATTACATTTACTGTAAATGTTTGTATTAAAAATTATTCACAAGTAATATATTATTACATAAGAAATTATATATTTCTTTACATAATATCCACTTTACACACATACACAGAAATTAATACAAACTTAGAAATTAACACAACCTGATAAGGGCCCAGGACAGACCAAAACAGTGTCACTTATTTCACATTGTATTTGTGCGTTGGACTGCTTATTTATAACAACAATACAGTAGTTGTTATTTGACTGCATTACCTAATATTAACCACTGCACACCTGGTTTCTTCAAAAACTTCTTAGTGCAATTGTCAAGGAGATATTTTTGTTGTTTTTATAAATATTCAGGTAAAGTTTATGTCAAAATGTTTCCAAGCTCAATTATTTCCATTTCAAAATACAAAGAGTAATGAAAACATTAAAATATAGCCTAATTAAAAAAAAATATCAACTCTCAGAGTGCCTAAAGGCACTTTGTGCAGTGCATCGGTCAATAGCAGCCATACTTATCGGTTAAAACTTCAAATATTTTTGCAGAAAAAATTGCACATGATAAAAATAAGGAATTCCCTACTAAGGATATTTAATAAGGATTTGTTACAGAACTTGTCTTACCTGGTTGAGGACAAAACTGTGACACACTACTGTCCTCAGCCGACACATCTACGAGTTGTACAGGGTTCCCTGCCATTGGGGGAGAATGAACAGCTGTTCCAAAACATGGCTTCACAGTTCATGAAAAATAATTACATCCAATTAACATTCAGTATATTAATCTACCTACAGATTTTACAATTAAATTTCAAATATATGAAGCAAGGTTGAAAAATACTGCACTATCTTATTGGAAAGGACAAGTGTGCGACACAGACATGGAGAATTGTTGAAAAAGAACACACAGTGCTGACAACAACGTAGAAAAATACTTAAGAGTACACTTCAATAAAGATGAAATTTTGCCATTAAGGGTTTAATCAAAACTAAATCTCTTGCATGCAAAATGTTACTGGCATCATTTGCAGATATGAAAGATATAAAAAATAACTGGAAGGAGGTAAAAATACAAGTATCAAGATGAATATGCTTTGACTGAAGGAAAATAAAAATTGAATATATATCGGAGTAACACTATCGCTCGCTTTGGACACCGATCACGTCCACTTTTTTTCTCTAGAGTCCTAGCCAAGGACAGGACTCGCGTCCTCCAAAAATTTTTTTATTAAATTCATTTTTTATCTGATTGACCTCGGGATAGTTTCAAAATAAGCGCCTTTAGAGTGCGCACAATTTGATACCAAAATGAAAGATGTAACATGAAACTTGATGTCAGAACACTTGAAAGATTATAAATACATTTTTGGTCAAAATTTTAAAATATTTGTTAAAATTCTATTTATTTTGCTATTATGTTGGGACTAGTTTTAAAATGCGCACCTTTACATTGCGAACAATTTGATATCAAAATGAAAGGTGTAACACAAACATTTATGTCAGAATACTGGAAAGATAAATAATTTTGTGAGGATGAGCTTCCAGAATTAAAATATTTGTTAAAAGTCCAGTTATTGCTCTATTATTATGGGACTAGTTTTAAAATACGCGCCTTTTTATTGTGAACAATTTGATACTAAAATGAAAGACGTAACATGAAAATTGATGTCATCAAACTGAACAAGTATACACATTAGGTTACGGTGTGCCAATTGGTGCTCGTTTACGGGTAACTTTAGGCTTTCCTGTGGGGAGTCACGCTGGGCTTTTGTACATTATATGCATAGACACCTGTAGGGAATTTAATTGGGAACACAATGATACCAAAACGAACGACGTAGCACAAGGATTAAGGTGAGAAAACTGAAACGAGTATACACATTTTTACTGATTTTGTGCACTCACGGGTAACTTTTGCTGACTTTAGGCTTTGCTGTTGGGTAAAGGGTACCTATTTATACCTCCCAGGTACCTATTTACCTAGCAGTAAATAGGTACTGGGAGTTAGACAGCTGCTATGGGCTGCTTCCTGGGGGTGTGTAACAAAAAGGAGGCCTGGTCGAGGACCGGGCCGCGAGGACGCTAAGCCCCAAAATCATCTCAAGATAACCCCAAGATAGCCAGCATACAGTACTGTTTTTTTTTTTCGGGGGTGGGGGGGGGGGGAGTCTCTCATGATCTCACATGTGATATTCCAGCCCATCTTGCTGTTTAGATAGTACTTATAGCAGCAATGTGGATCATCAAACATATATTGATGTAATAGACAAAGTAGAATTTGGTACAATTAAATTTGAACAAACCAGAAAAGGTTTTGTATTTATGTTGCTCATAAAAACTTTTGGTATTTTAAACCAGAAAACCTTTAAACCTCAACATGATAGGCTTAATAAATGCTATCTGAGGCCTGATGTGTGTGCACACTATACTAGGCCTAGGAGTATTTAAGTTTGGGTTTTAGCTTTATTTTGTCCTGGTTATGAAATGAATAGTGCCAAATTCTACTAATTGTCATGTATGTCAACACATGTATAATGGTCCACATACTGTAGTTACAAAAAGTACTATCTAAATTGGAGGATGGGTTGGATATTCTGTAAATCAAATAAACTTCCATATTTATTACATTCAAAAAATGAAGCAGTGAAGATGAGGCATGCAACTAACCTTAAACACCACCATCCAATGAGTTAACCACTGACAAAAAAAAATAAAATATTTGCAATTTTAAATTCCACATGCAATTCTCTTACACACAAACACTGTTTTCGTGACATGGTAATGATCTCGATATTCAGCCTATTCTCCTGTTTAGATAGTTCTTATAGTAACGATGTGGACCGTCGTACATGTACCGTATTGACCTAACAACTAGAAAGTAGAATTTGGTACTATTGAATTTGGACAAACCAGAAAAGGTTTTGTATCTATGCTGCTAATAAAACCTAACCTATCTATCATAGGCATAATATACACTATGAGGCCTAATATAGACCTAGGAATATTTAGGTTTAATTTCTAGCTTTATTTTTTCCAAACTCTGTAAGTGAATAGTACTAAATTATGCTAAATGTCTAGTATGCCAATATATGCATAATGGTCCACATAGTTACACAGAGAACTTTCTAAACGTGAGGACTGGTTGCGATACTGCAATGCCAGATTATAAAAAAAATAGATTGTTCATTTATTATCCCCTGCACTGCACACCTGTTATTGGCTAAAACTTCAAAAGTGCAATTGTTAAGGACATATTTTTGTTGTTTTTATAAATGTTCAGGTAAAGTTAATGCCAAATGTTTCCAAACTATTTTCATTTCAAAACACAGCGATGAAAACATTAAAAAACATTAAAATATAGCCTAATTAAAAACAAAAACGGACAATTCTCAAAACGACATTTGTTGGCCGGCGCAGTTGAGGGATTAATGTATAATGCTAACTGTTTCTTGCATAGCACAAGCCCAATATGCTATCACAAAATCACTGTTGGAAACAAGCACATTTTGTAAGCTTACACAAGAGGAAATAAAGTATCTCACCCGTTCTCCATTCTTTGTGTTTTCCAGGGACCCTAAAGCTTCACTCCGTGACTTTAAATAATCATCTATCCGCATCTTGTTCCCTGGACCAACCAAGTTTTGTTCTGTACTTGAAATCCAAGAAGGCCTTTAAATAAAATAAAACAGCATTAAAAATTAGTTCAGTGTAAATCTTTATAACAAATGAGGCTTAGAAATCAATGAAAAGCAATTTTTTGAGCAGTACATCAGGTTCCATCCTATGAAACAATCCTATTACTCCCATGTTAGGATCTCGCACAGTCAGGGCAGATCGGCATTATGCCAAGGAAACGTTTCAAACAGTCCCTTTTGGGTCGTACTAGTACGTGGAAGATAATGCAGAAGACTTAATCTTTCCCACAATACAGCCTGGAGGTGCATTTACTATATATTAAACTTCCAAGCGCTTGGTCATCACAAGGACTCGAGCAATACCTTTGCTAATTACAGAAAGATCTAAATCACCATCCCCAATCACAAGAGGCAGAAACACCACTACAACAGAGTACCTGCTTGATGGGGTTCTGAGAGTTCTTCTACTCCCCAAGCCCAGCCTGAGGCCAGGCTTGACTTGTGAGAGTTAGGTCCACTAGGCTCAACCCAAACCCCTCAGGTTTTACCTGGTTCTAAGTTGTACTGTCAGTACTGTACTGCACCTGGCAGTACAGTAAGTTGTACTGCTAGGTGGAATCCAGGCTGGTAGTAGTCAATGATGACTTGGCGGCTCAGTCAGCAAAGGGCACTGCTTTACAGTCCTTGTAATGTCCAGTAGTTGTTTAAAAGACTTTATATGAATGTGCTATCTGACTGCATGCTAAGGTGGCATTTCTAGCCTTGACTTTATTATCAATATGACCCAGCAAAAGACTGTGAAATTTTCCCTACTGCTTGGTGTAATGTTCACCTGCCTGACAGAACAATTGAGTGGGATGGCTCAAACAAAGGTTTGGTCAAGAACATAAGAAATTATGCTTTTAACAAAGATCAATTCATAAAAAATTGCACATCAATATACAAACTGTAAATAGCTACCTACCTTACTGTAATTTCTGCTTGTCCATAAATGCCAGAGAAGCATGAATAGTCAAGTTTATCATTGTAGTTTTCTGCTTCAAGAAACTTGTATTCTTTATGAGTTTCCTTTTCTTCTTCCTCAAAGAAATCTAGATTAGGGTCATGGAATGACTCTCCATCAAGTATGCTAGCCAGGTCATTCTGGTGATCTTGAAACCACTCATAATGTGCCTCTTCACTGCAACAAACAGGAATATTAGTAGTTTGTACATATAATATACATTTCATTTAGTTTAATGAGCAATAACCTTTCCATGACAAACCAGAGCTGGACTATAAAACAGCCAATCAATTAAATTCATGTTCATCTCCAGTGCTCAATGTTTACTTGTATATTACACAGGATGGGAAGGTAGTGTGGGGGGGGGGGATTAGAGGGTGAGGTGTGTACGAGAATAAGGGGGTTAGAGGGTGGGGGATTATGTTAGAGGGTGGGGGTATGTTAGAGGGTGGGAGGGTAAGTTAGACGGTGCAGGGGTGAAGTGGAGGAAGTGTGTGTCAGGGAGTATGTGAGGTGTGATCGGGGAGTGTCTAGGGAAAAGAGGGTGTATGGGAACGAGGGAGTGTTTGCAGGGAAAAGGACAGTGCCATTACTAAAACAAAAATAGCATTGAATGCAATGAAATGCCACTTTCTGATGGGTCCTTGGTGGCTACTTGACTTCTACTTGGATAGCTACACCCAATTCAATACACACCAAGCCCTTGCAAGTCATTGTAAGCCCACTGGGGACCTGTGGCCAAAACCTGGGCCCCCTCTTCAGGGGTACAAGAAGCAGACGATCATAGATCACCAAAACCAAGAAAAGGGGCACCAGAAAGGTGGGGGAGCCAAAACAATTAATTAGCAAGGTAAACAATCCTGGTGGTTTGTTCATGTCATGGGTTTGTGTCTCATTTATTTACCTTGACTCATTATGTACATCATTCTCATTGGCATCCTTCACATCTGTACCAATAGACCCCAGCGAATTACATGACGTAGACAAGAGTTTAGATTCTTCCAAACCACTACGTAAAGCTGTTGAATTGGCCGAAATTTGACGTACATCAAATTGAACCTGTTGATGGAAAAAATTTGCAGATTAAAATTTATTTGTAATCACATACGATCATTATCATCTAGCCGTGATTAACTGATCAACTTAGAGTTTATGATGTAAACTAGTCATAATCAATAAAAGATCATTTAATTGTTAATCTTTTTAATTTCCATTTGTGCTATCTATGGCACATGTACTCTATTGCAGAGTACTTGACACAGTCTATGAAGTAGCTGCAATATGTTGTGGATATTTTTTGCATATGATGGTGCTAGTTTCCCACTATGGTATTAAGTACCTGAATTATTCATTTAATAAGAAGTCATTCCTCTGGTGTCAAAAGGTACTTAACCAGCCTTTGAGATAGGTTAACAATCTCAACTCAGCTCTACAAACAAATTAAGGAGATAGGCTATGGATATAACACAATCTTCTACATTACTTTGGCCAGAAAGAGACTTCACAAGCTACACTCCATTCCACAATGAAAAATGCACAGTGAAATGCACATTGAAATCACATTACCCTGATGTATCAATGAGAAAATCGGTAGAAGCCATTAGGAGGAAGAGAAGCATTGAAGGGAGAACTGAACCACAGCCAGAGTGCATAGGGGCAATGCATGAAATCCCTGATTAGGCTTCAATGGAAGCCTCAGAACCCCCTAGAAGATTTGGCTGAATCCCAGGTTACATTGCTTTTACTATGTCGTGGTGGTAGTGATCTGGGATGAGGGCTTGGGAGTACGAAGTGTGTGGGTTCTAATCCCCCTCGTGGCTCCTACTGATTTTCTCAGTTCATTTATTTTTTTATTCAACAAGTAAGTGTTTACCTTTGCCTTAAAATGAACATCCCTAAGACCCTGTCTCTGACCAGGCCTCCAGGTTGGTGGCCTGGCCAACCGGGCTGTTGGACACAACAGCTCACATGTATGAATCACAGTTTGGGATCAGGTATCCTTTTTGAGGTGTTTATCAAGTACTTTTTAACACCATAAAAGCTTGACTAGTTATGAACCTTATGATTATAGGGAAAGTGTTGGAAAGTGTCGAAAAGTACTGGCCCCCCCCCCTTGATGAAAGAGAAATCTATCTATTGCGCCTCTGTTTTTCAACAGGGCTATTTTGCACTTCCTGCCTTGCATCCTGGTCATGTAGAGTTATTTCTGTGTAGATTTATAGCCAGTTCCACTAATATTTTCTAAGTGCAAATTATGTACCTCACTTGCAAGGTAGGGTAGCCTGTTCGGTAGAAAATAAACTTAAACATTTTATGTAACCCAATAATTTAGATATTTTATTGAGTGGGTTCTGGCAGTAAAATATTTTTTTGCACGTACTCAAGGTCAACAATTTCTCCCGCTATGAATGGGGCTATTATTGTGCAACAATATTCCATCCCTAGAAAGTTGTCTTAATTAAAGCACATCATTTGTCTTGTATCTCATCTGAAAGGTTCTTGTTATCCAACTGATTTATTATTATTTTTTTTACAATTGTTACAGCTACTTTGTCATGTTCTTTAAAAGTAAGGTCTTTTAACATTGTTAATTCCAATTATGTCAAAAGACAATACTCCCATCGTCTTTTATATTGCATTCTCATCCTAACACGTGAGCTGATTGCATTTCATGAGAGGTTTCCATTTTCACATTTTAATTTTTCAAAATACAAGAGATAGAACAGATCTTCATTAAATGCCATACTTTCTGGAGAACATTCAAAGACCTAATTTACATCAGTTTGGAGGTTTGCTGTACCCTCTAATGATGATACAGGACTATATTTGTGTCCTTGTCAATATCTGATACGAGGATGATAACAAGTACTGAAGTAAGCTCAGAATCATGGGGGGGGGGGGGACTGAGCTTTTCATGATAGCGGAGCTGGCGGATGTCTACGTTGTAACACGGATTCGAGTTCCTCTCTCTTTACTTCCTTCTTTCTACTCCCTCTACCCGTATTCTTACTTTTATTTCTAAACCAAGGGACTCCAAAAACTTTTACCAAAGCCAACTCCACGCCACGTGGTCCTAAGACGATTGACCGACTTAGGATTCTACACCCAGTATGACGTGACCTAAGCTCTGAACAAAACCCTAGAGTCACCTCTGCTGCCACCACCAGACCAGTAATACAAGAGCAATGATCGAGGTCTGGATCGATCACGCTAATTAATCAACCTAGGGGCTTGATCCCCACTATAAACGATGACCTTGAGTGTGGAATAAATTACACGGTAATGATAATTCCGATTCGATGTTAGAATCGGCGCCCAATGCAACTCTGCCTCGTGTGGACCACGTGACCAGGACAAGTATACACATAAAACACATGGAAACAATAAAATGCAAATTAATAACAAATTTAATTTATTAAACGAAAACTAAAACAAAATCTAAATATGTTCACTCCCTATCAATTTAACACTCCCTACTTGACCTGAGTGGCAAATGAGACTATTTCTATACTTAACAATAGCAACTATACCTTGGGCGACCACAGTTCTAGGTGTTGGGCCTGTTCTTGGGGAGAGGTAAGATGTTTGACCTCTCCTAGCTGCTTCCGTGACCACACTGATTTTTCCCTTGTCTCGTCTCCCCCAGACAGAACATTGTATCCTTGCGCCTAGTCAAAGTTCTACCCAGTTACTAGCAAGGTTTAAGTTATAACAATTAAACTCGGTTGTACTTAATTGATCCAGACTAGTTGAATTATTTTACTGAAATAAATTACACAAGCCTCTAACGGCAGAGCTGTTCCCGATCACAAAAATGGTTATTAAAACTTTGAGAAATATTAGACATGTCAACCCTGCTGACCTATGACCGCCGGTCACTCCGCCTCAAAAGTTAGATCTGATTCGTGACGTCACTGATGGTGACTTAAACTCAATAATTAGAATACTCTTGATATTGTATCCAGTACTATTATACAATACAATTTTAATGCAAAATGAATAAAGGCTAATTTTCTCTAAATTACTGAATACTATAGGATGATTCATTATACGCCGTTATGAACAAAGCGTCGGTTATTTCCACCGCGAATTCCCCTGGGGGTCAGGTCACCATGCGGCTCAGCTTCCCATTCTCTTTTGTCGATAAACCACTCTGGATAATTCTTACAACAGCCTAGTTTGTTACAACCCCCCCGCACAAGCACTTAGTAAACCTTGTTAATTTGTTAAAATTCACGAGGTTTAGTATCCAAACCCACAATTCAACTCATGCCACAAACAAAAGCTAACCTAACTAATAAAATTTGACAAATAATAGTCCAACATCATAATGAACATGTTCATATTTCATAAATTTCTCAGCTGTCAACTGACAGCAATCCTCTAATATCAGGAAACATACATCCTATCCTTACTGACATAGCTAAATAACATGTCCCTACTCTACCATCAAAAACTAGCTATTAAACTCTCTTGGCTCTTCACTAGCCAAGTCCATGTGTCCTCTAGAGCCGGCCACACCGTGCTCAAACAAACATTAAAGTTATATCATCAGACTGAACTTTCAGTCATCCGGGAGCGTACTACGGAACTATCAGGTACACATCCGTGTACTAACCACTCCCCATCAAGGAACACACCTAACGTTTATTACATGTATCTAAAAATAAAAAAAAATCCTATACTATATCACAGGTTTCGGCTGACTGTACAGCCAAGTGTTCTCACTCACTAGAAGTGTCAATGTTTATATTGGTCCGCCTCTCCTGTGTTCAAACATTCTGAAAAAAAAATAGCACAACATAATTTTCCATAACCGTTTGTTCTGGGCTGAGACAATTACACAGGGGCTTCGATTTTGATTACTGACCAATTTATAGTTAAATTTTCATATATTATACCAGAATTATTTTAAATCTGTTTTTCAACATTTATAAAGAATTGATTCTAACTCTGTTTTTCAACATTTAAACAAAAGTGTCCAGATGTTCTTTACACAGATGTTCAGAGCCACTTTGTTGTTTGTATCAATTGTTCATATTGAGTAATCGAAAAAAAAAAATCGATGCTGCTGGATGCTGAATGTAGTCGCTGACGATGACGGTGTCGATCTTGCTTCTTCCCATGTGTAGACATCAATACCTGGTCCTCTTGTACTCCCATCCGGTACTCCTGAATGACGACAGAGTGTAGTAGAGCGGAGTGCCAAGTGACAGCTGTAGAATACTGTTACTTCGGCCATTAATCTTGCTCTCGACAGTCCACACGCCTTCGTATTAATCACAGTTCACACGGTAGTCTTGATGTTAAACTTGTCGCAGATGACCACAGCAGAGCAGGACTGGATGTACCAACGGTGTCTCTTAGCAGGAGTGATGTTAGAAGGTCGTAGAGGCGGGTTGCTTGTTTGCAGAACAGGTGAATCTCGTCTTCCATCATTGCTCACGTCATCTCAGGCGTTTCTTGATGTCACCAGGTTACTAGGCCGTAAACACCAACTGTGCATACCCTCGTACCGCCGACTTTAGGCCAAAGGAGACAATTTTGCGACCTTCTATTGGCGAGTCCCGGTACTCTGTAGGGAAACCGTGCCTTCCACCTGTGACCGCCTTACTTCTGCTTTCTTGTTACTTCAGATGACGTAATCATTAATCTTCCGGCGAAATTCTTGAGTACTGCTACGTGCTTTCCATTTCTTGACCTCTCCTCCAACACTGCTGGAATGACTGCAGTCTTGATGACGCAGCAGGTGGGTATTGGTGATCTCGAGACAGCTACCCCGGCGTTGTATGGCACCTCCGGTGACTGCTATAATGTGGACAGCTCGCTGGCCCTGACAACCTCGTTAGTGACGTGAGGCGTCGGCCGGGTGACTCTTGGACAGTCACTCATCCCCAAAGTAACTGATGTATGGGTTACTGGGTCTGGTGGGGGGAGGGCTTGTGTAACGTGCCTCCCCCCTCGGTCTTTACAGACAAGGGTTCACGTGTGGCTGGAACAACTGGGTCGGTGTACCAATCAGACCTGGGAACAGACAGACACAACACAGCGGAAGCATA